GTCACCGGACCCGAAACGTTAACTCTGTTTTCTCCTTCACAGATGCTGCCAGACCTGCTGAGCTTTTCCAGCAGGTTTGTTTTTGTTCCTTTAGGGTGATTTAACAGCTTCTTTCCAGTTCTGATTCTGTGAACTGTGAAGTCTTCTTACATGAATACTTAAAACTGAAAACTGTGTCTCAGTATTTTATTTGTAAAGACCCTTTTTTAAATTTTTGAATGTGGACTGCAATGGGAAGAAAAAAGCTGTTGTAAAAACCAAGGATTATTGAAGGATTGCTGCAATTTTTAGAAACCTGTAACCTGACACTCATTGCAAATATTGTTTACACAGCTGCTTGTTCAAGCAGAAGTGGAAGCCTAATTTGCAGATGGAGCTGAGCAGTGTGTACAAAGTATGTACAGTTATTGTTGACAAAGGCCTTCTGCCTAACAACAACTATATTATTTGCTTCTAGGTAGCTGAACATCTTGGGGGTGAGTCTTTTGGTAGAAAACATTGAAACTCTACAAGAAAAGGAGCTGTATTTTATTCTGCAGCAAAAAGCATTGCAAGTCTGAAGGCAGCCAGTTTATTTCCCCTTTCCGGTTACTATAAACTGTGACTTTTAATTGATAAGTCAAAGACCTTTGCCAGTGGAACTTGGGAGCATGGGAATGACTGGGGATGGAGCTGCATCCGGTGGCTCTTCTTTCACCAGGGTGAGATCGGGATATCTGCTGATCTCCACGCCTACTACGCTTTCTGGAGATGACGAAGCTACAAAGCTGTCTGGCGAATCACGGTCATCACCACCACAATGCTCCTGGCCTCTGTAAGGAAAATATATTTGCTTTATATATCCTTTATAATTACTGAATACTAAACACAACATTATTTTGAATCTTCATAAGATCTACAAATTTAAAGCAAAATACTGTGTATGCTAAAGATGTGTATCAAAGTGTTGAAGAAACTCAGCAGGTCTGGTAACGTGTGGAGAATGAAACAGCTAATATTGATTCCAAGATGATTGAGTTTGTGTGCCATTTCTGACCTTTATACGATCTAGAAAGCAAATTTTATTATATGGGGAAAGATAAAACACAGAAATTATATAGGATATATGGCCACTCCTCCCAAACAACCCATGCTGGTATTATGTTCTCTTTGAGCCTGTTTACGTTCTCAAAATCTACCATTGTAACCTTCTATCTTCTCTTTGATATGCTCGTCCAGTTTTAATTTAAATCCATCTGTACTATCTGTGGTAGTGAGTTTGACAAGCTCATTGTTTTTTGGGAAAAGAAGTCTCTTCTGAATACCCCAGTGGATGTCTTGGTGACTATCTAATGGTGATAGCTTCTAGTTATATTTTATCCCATAAGGGGGAACATTTACTTTGCAAATGATGTGAAGCTGGTTCAAAGGAGGTTTATTATATTGATATGTGAAATGAGTGGGTTAGGATCTTATGAGGAAAGTTTGGACAGGTTGGGCTTGTTTCCAGTAGAGTTTAGAAGAGTGGAGGGTGACTTGATTGAAATGCATAAGATCTTGAATAGTCTTGACAAGGTGGATACGTGAAGCATTTTACATCTTGTGGGCAAGTCCAGAACAAGGGGGCTCAATTTTATAAATTAGAAGATCACCCCTTTTAGGACAGAGATGAGGAGGATTCTTTCATGGAGGGTTGTGGGACTTTGGAACTCTCTGCCTCAGAAGATAGTGGAGGCAAGGTCACTGAATACTTTTAAAGGCAGAAGTAGATCAAATCCTCTGTCTAGCAAGAATCAAAGGGATAGGTACCAGGCCTTCATCAGCAACTTGAGAGAAATCAGAAACAGCTCACAACAAACTGTGGTATAACCATTCCACTACAACCAAAAAGTGGAAAACTTACTCTAGTACTATAATTAATTATTAGAAACAAATTGCCAAACCTCAGCTCCTCATGATTGTTGTGGGGTGGAGTAGGGAGGGAGGCAGGAACATCTACTGTTTTCGGTCCATGGGCCAAAGCTCTTGCCAACAGATCATCTTCAGGTCTAAAAGGCAGCTGATACTGTTTTGGTCCAAGGCCTTTGCCAACTGAAAATAGTAATTATTTATTTTCTAAGTAATTAAGAAAATAAATTGTATAAAACAAATACTTAAGACTACTACTGATTACAAAACAGCACAATTTAAGATTAGAAAACTACACGATTTCGTGAGATAAATCTAAAAAAACTGTAGAATCAAAAAATAATTAAAATAAATGTGGATGATAGAGATTTAGGAAACTATTGGTGTCTTTTAATATTCTTGTTTTATTAGATTTTCAGATATATGGAGCAGGGATAGGTATCTACTAATAAAACTATACATTCGTGTTAGACCCTAAGTTGTAGTAGCAGAATAAACCATTTAGCCTAGGGAGCCTGCTCTTCCATTCAATAAAATTATGGTTGACCTGATAGTCTTTAACTCACTTTCCTATAACCCTTGATTCTCTTACTAATTAAAATTCCACCCATTTTAGCCTTGAATATACTTAATGACCCAGTCTCAACAGCCTTCTGCAGTAAAGACTTCCACAGATTCACTACCCTCAGAAAAAAAAACCATCCTCATCTGGTTCAAATGTGTGACCCTTTATTCTAGATAATGCCTTTTAGTCAAGGGTCTCCCACAAGGGGAAACAATTTTTCCTCATTTATCCTTTCAAGTTCACTAAGAAACTTGCATGCTTCAATAAAGTTGCCTCTCATTCTTCTACATTTAAATAAATGCAAGCCCAAACTACTCAACCTCTCCTCATTAAACATTTCTCCATACTTGACATCAGCTCAATGAACTTTCTCTGGAATGCCTCCAAAGCCAGTCTATCTTTCCTCAGGTAAGGAGCCTAAATTTCCGTTTGAAATAAAGGCCAACATTCTCCTTGCCTTCTCTTTTAACTGGAATTCAGATGAATCTTTTTGAGATTCATCCATGAAGACCCCCAAATTATTCTGCAGTCTTTCTCTACTTAAATAATACTCAGTTCCTTTATTCTTCCCGAAAACGTCACATTTAGGTATACTATATTCAGTCTACCAAATATTTACCCATATACTATATCCCTCTGCAGACTCCGAGTTATCCTGACCATTTGTGTTGCCACCCATTTTTGTGGCTCCACAAACTTGGCTACAGTACGCTCACTTTCGTCAACCAAGTCATAAATATATATTGTAAGTAATGGTGGTCCCAGCACTGACCTATGTGACACTCCATTAGTTACAGGTTGCCATCCTGAAAATGTTCCCCTTTATCCCAACTCTGTTTGTTGGTTAGCCAATCTTTTAACCATGTTAATATACTACCTTCAACACCATGGACTCTTATCTTATTAAACAGCCTTATGTGTGGTACCTTATCAAATCTGAAAATCCAAATACATTACAACCACTGCCTCCCCTTTAACTATCCTGCTCATTACCTCAAAGAATTTTAGTAAATATATCAGGCTTGATTTTCCCCTTCATGAAGCCATTTGGACTCTACTAAATCATATTACATATTTCCAAATGCTCTGCAATTATATCCTTTATAATACGCTAACGTATTCCGGATAACAAACGTTATGTTATCTGGCCGATAGTTAGCTGTTTTTATCTCCCTTCCCTTTTAAAATGAAGGTTTTTTTTTTAATATTCATTTATGGGATGTGGGCGTCAGTGGCTGGCCAGCATTTCTTGCCTGTCCCTAGTTGCCCTTAAGAAGGTGGTGGTGAGCTGCCTTCTTGAACCACTGCAGTCCTCCTGCTGTAGGTTGACCCACAATGGTATTAAGGAGGGAATTCCAGGATTTTGACCCAACGACAGTGAAGGAATGGTGACATATTTCCAAGTCAGGATGGTAAGTGGCTTGGAGGGGAACTTGCTGGTGATGGTGCTCCCAAGACCTTTGTCCTTCTAGATGGAAGAGGTCGTGGGTTTGGAAGGTGCTGTCTGAGGATCTTTGGTGAATTTCTGCAGGGCATCTTGTAGGTAGTACACAGTGCTGCTACTGAGCATCGGTGGTGGAGGGAGTGGATGCAGTGTCAATCAAGCTGGCTGCTTTGTGCTGGATAGCACTGGCAGTTTTTAATCCTCTTAGGCTTTTCCAGAATCTAAGGATTCTTGAAAGACTACAACCAGTCCGTCCCTTGTCTTTGTAGCTACTTCCTTTAATAGCCTAAGATGCATCACACCAAACCCTCAAAGTGTTCTCAAAATTCAGTCAGGCAAATCTAGGTTTCTCATTTTTTAATCTCACTAATGACTATCTTCTGCCCCAATGTCCCAATTCTCCAAATTTTCTGGATCATCTGCAAACAAACATCAATTCTGCTCACAATTTGGCAGTCACTAAGTGAACAAGAGTTGCCAGTAGTTTGCCCATTCTGTACACTTTTAAAACTTTATTCATCAGATGCAGGCATTGCTGGCAAGGTGAGCGCTTATTTTCTAGTTTTACCAGCATTTGAGAAGATGGTGCACTTTGCGTTGAGTATTAGTCATAATGCTGTTAGGTTGGGAGCTTGAAGATTTTTACACAGCAATAATAAAAGAATGTTAATATGCTTCTCAGTCTTAGACGCAAACTTGGGAGTTAGTGATTTTCCCATGTGCTTGTTATCCTCATCCTTTAAAGTATTAGAGGCTTTGGGTTTGGGAAAGGCTCACAGAATAAAAGGGATGGGAGCAACACACAAGTGACAGCAAACAAGAGAGTAGCACTGAATGGTCATTCTTCAGACAAGAGAAAAAATTATCCACTTTGGTAGCAAAAATAGGAAGGTAGATTATTATCTGAATGATGCTATATTAGGAAAGAGGGAGGTACAACAAGACCCGGGTGTTCTTGTACATCAGTCTCTGAAAATAACTATTCAGGTGCAGCAGGCAGTGAAGAGGGCTAATGATACGCTGACCTTCATTATTAGAGGATTTGAGTGCAGGAGCAGGGATTATTTTTGCAATTGTCCAGAGCCTTGATGAGACTACACGTGGAATATTTTGTGCAGTTTAGGAATTACATTCAGTACTCTACGACGCTGTAGGAAGGACATGAAGCTAACTGAGAGAGTGCAGAAAAGATTTAACACAATGATACCATGAACGAGGGATTTTATTTAAGTAGATAGAATGGAGATCTGGGGCTGTTCTCCTGGGACCAGGTAAATAGGAGATTTGATACAGCAATTCAAAAAAAAGGGAGTCTGGACAAAAATAAACTTTATTCCATCTTTAACTATTTTATGATGTTTATATAGAAGGCCGGTGTCTTGTATTTGATGTACACTACAGCCATGGTGTGGAGGTAGGTGAGAGAGTGATTGTTCAAAAAGGAGTGTAAGCAATGTCAATAAAGTGGACTGCTCAGGATAGGGTCAATGTCAAATATTATTAGAGCTGCACTCATTCAAGCAAGTGAAGGACAGTGCATCATACATTCCATATGTGAATGATATTAATATACCTGATACAAGTTAAATTTTATTTTCCCTAATTCAGAATTGGTGCTCATCACAATCCAGTAGGTATGACAACTATATATATTTTTTTTAAAAATCACAGCTACGCAGGTTTAATATAATCACTGCAAGGTGCCAAGAATAAATACTTCAAACTTCTCATCACAGGTGTAAATCCACCTTTATCACACAAAAATAAGAAATTTTGTTTTATAAACTTCAGTCATCTGGAGTTCAGAACAGCTTCTTCCCAGCTGTTATAAGACTTATGACTGGACTTATATATTAGAGTAGATCTTTCTCTGCATCTTTTCTGTAGCTCTACTACCATATTCTGCATTCTGTTCTAGTACCCCGATATACTCATGTAAGGTAGGATTTGTCCAGTTTGCGTGCAAAACAATACTTTTCACTGTATCTCTGTACATGTGACAATAATAAATCAAATTAAATCTTCAGTTGTAAACAGGACAGAAGTGCTGAATTACGCAATAAGTAATTATTCTTTCAATTCAACTACAACACTCACACCAAAATAATTCTGATATTCAACCTGAATAAATTTGGAAACAAGTAAAATTTCCTACCATCAGGGTGCCCTGGTTTTCCAGAGAGCTCATCAGTGGTAGCAAAACCATTCACCAGCTTCTGGCGTGCCACAGGTGGGGGTGTAGGAGGCAAGGAGGCCGGTGGGGTGGGAGGATTGCTCAAATTGCTCTGCTGTGCCAAACAGAAAAATGAATTAAATTGTTGCAGTCTCATTTGTACAAAGGGTTTGCTTTTTGCAATCCTCCAGTTGTGCGTAGACAACACAGATCTCTTTTCTAAATGTTCAAAGTGTGCAAGTGCTTGCAAACAAGCTCAGAGATAGTATCTGTCTTTCATATAAACACAAACCAATAAACACTGATGATCAGGACAGTTGGTTACCTGCAGCTTTTTCATCTTGGCTTCAGGTACTACAGCTAAAGCCACAAAACTCCTGTTACTTTTACTCCTTGTCACTTTGTGTCAATATCAGTGCTGTGATGATTACTGGAATGTTTACATTACATAGACTAGTGACATCAAATATCACACCAGTTTTCCACATCTGTGGAAAACATAAAAGCACCAACTACTTTTGATCTGGCAAAAGCTGGTTGCAGTTTAGTGAATTCTTGCTCTGCTACTGCTACTGTCTAATATTGAGAATGGAAATGGTGGGAATACACTGCTGGAAGACCATCTGTAGCCCTGCTCACAGAATCAAGATTGAAAAACAAACCCACTTTTCACAAGATGAACATTGGCTGTTACAAATTTTTGAATCTTGGGAGTGAATGATATTGCATTGGAAACAATCTAGTGCAAGAGGGGAATGTAAATTTGAAACAATGTGTAAACAGGTATTAAATAACAGTTTAACACATTAAAAATTATTTCCAAACAGAATGCAATTTATATTTTATGGATACATGCAACTTTGTTACCTTGTGGTTACATAGAAGATAAAGAAAATAGTAAGGGATATGTAAACTAATAACAGAAATCAGAATAAAGACATAAAAAAGGAAAAAGATAATGAATGACATCTAGAATATTTATTGATGTACAAATCACACGAGTAAATTTATTATCTTGCAATGTTTTCAGTATTTGACAAGTTGGATTTTATCATCTCATAATTTCTCTGCTTAACTTTAAAAAGGCATTTTCAAATCCATTTCCTCAATTCAAATATTCAGTCAGCTCTCTGAGTTTGCAGGTAGAGTTTTGTACGTGTTCCTTTCTTCCATAGTGAAAGGACTTCTGGCATTTTTCTGCGTCAAACAGACTACACAAATGCTATAGTTACAGTTTAGGAGCAATGTCTGAAGTTTTAAAAGCCTGTTTGGTTATTAAGCCACATCAACCACCTCTCCATTATCTGTCAAGCCCTTAAAGAAACAATTAAGTTCCATTCCATGCATCTACTTAAAAAAACAAATACAATGATATTTCCTAATCCTTCGTTCTCTTTCAAAGTGAAGTGGGTAACTTACTTTAACTGTCCCTGTGTCTCCAATTATTTGAAAGACTATTTCCTCCTTAAATAAAATAAATGCAGTTGTTTTGTGTTGTTCTTTGACAATACCTAAGCCTTTGACAATTTACAATCAGGCTGCTTACTCTTTTCTAAACTCATAATAATGTTGGCAAGTCTACCCAACACTGTTCAACTAACTGCAAAACGGACTCCACCAATCATAAAATTTGGGCTGCAGATCCTTGTGCAATGCCACTGATGGCTAATGTTCATTGACGCTGAGCCAATTTATCATCTAGAATGTGTTGAAAATTGTGAAAATTTTGAAGCGTCTTACTATCCTCATGTCAGGAAAGTAGAAATTCAAGTGAACAGTGTGTTCTGGATTACCATCATACATCGGTGTAATATGTCAAAATTTGCAGATGACACAAAGCTGGGTGGAAGCTGTGAGGCGGATCCAGACATGTTACAGTGTAATTTGGACAGGCTGAAAGAGTGGGCAAAACCATGGCAGATGCAGTATAAATATGTATAAATGTGAGGCTATCCGCTTTTATAGCGGAAATAGGAAGGCAGATTATTATTTAAATGGCCAAACATTGAGAGGGGAATGTTCAATGAGATCTGAGCATCAACAGTCATTGAAAGTAAGAGTGCAAGTGCAGCAGACAGTAAAGGTGGCAAACTGTACGTTGGCTTCTGTAGCAAGAGGTTGAGTACAGGAACAAGAATGTCTTGCTGCAATTATACAGAACATGAACGAGGTCAAAGGAATGTATGCAGTTTTGGTCTCCTTATCTGAGGAAGGATGTTGTTGCTATAGAGGGAGAGCAGTGAAGGTTTACCGAATTGATTCCTGGGACAGCAGAACTGACATACGAGGAGAGGTTGAGCCTGTTAGCATTGTTCTCAACTTCAGCAAATACAATGAGGGGATATCTCATTGAAATCTGTAAAATTCTTATAGGACTAGACAGGCGAGATGCAGGAAGGATGTTCCCAATTGTAGGGGAATCCAGAACCAGGGGTTACAGTTGAAGGATGAAGCTGAAGGTAAGCCATTTAGGACTGAGATTAGGAGAAATTTCTTCACTCAGAGTGGTGAGCCTGTGGAATTCACTACCACAGAAAATGGCTAAGGCCAAAACATTATTTGTTTTCAAGGAGGAGATAGATATAGCTCTTGTGGCTAAAGGGATCAAGGGATATGGGGTATTGAGCTCGGTGATCAGCCATGATCATATTTAACGGCAGAGCAAGCTCAAGGGGTTGAATGGCCCACTTCTGCTCCTATCTTCTATGTTTAGGAAACTTTTTAATTATGCCAGTGAATCTAGGCTGAATGTTTTCTATGGTACTTTCACTCTCTTAACTTTAAGCAATAGCTTTCCACAGATTGCCCAAAGGAATGCTAGACCTGTTGGCTTATGAAGACTAAGCAAACGTCTTAGTGCTTTTTTGAATACTGACCTTTACAAATTAAGAATAACAACACAAAAATAGGAATTAATCAGGAATATTTTCACTATCAGGTCTGTAAAAGTGTGAACAGATTTCTAAACAGGTGGTGAAACAAGAAACCTGAATGGATTTCGAAAAAAATGTCCGTTAGGTACTTCTTAACTAATGGGATACAACCTTATTCAGGAAATGTGAAAATATGGGCTATGTGAACCAGTGAAAGTTACAGAAACTCATGTATTATCTACATGATCACTGCTACTGTAAAAATGATGAGGCTTGTACTGAAGACTAATTTCAGCACTTAAAGATGCTACTGATATAGCTCAACACATGGCTTCATTTGTTTTTAACTAATATACAACATACCTTGTAAATCAACTGAGAGTAGTAATCTGGAACGCTGTCAAGAACAGCACTGCCAAAAGATCCTGTGAGTAGATTATCACCATTCAACTGTCCACTACCGTAGGGAGGGAAGTATGCAAAATTCACACTGATAGTTGGTTCCAGTAGTGGGAGAAGAGTCAGTTGCTAGCGAAAAAGAAAGCCAAACACTATTATGCTCCAGTCATTCCATCACAGAAATATTATTCCACTACAATGTCATTTTTACTACACTGGTCTTGCTGAAAATCAGCATCTTTCTTTGTTGGTTTTTCTTTCTTGAATAACCTAAACTATTTTATCAGCTCGACTCAATGAAAACACAACATCATTCATAAAACAGTTTTTAGTGCTGATATGCATAAATTGAAGTATTACAAATCAATTTAAAATTTGATTGGTCGACCATAAATTGTCAAAGACTAGAAGTGTCTTCTATTGATCATGGACATCCATTTTTCTGTGGGTTGCGGTAAACTTTGCAGTGATTCACTTCAATTTTTCTACCAGATAGCAAAAATGGTCCCAAGTAATAGTAAATAGAGAACCACGTGCAATTCAAGTGGTATTAGAAAATTTGCCAATGACATTGTCCACAGTTGGTTAACGTGTACAAAATCATGAATTTGGGAGAAAAAAAAAGTCAGAAACTTGCTCTATTGCACCAACTAAAAGGCCAGAGATTCCAAATACCTTGTTATAGGGAATGTGCAAGATTGATATTTGAAATGTTCATAAGAAAAGTTTCAATGTTGAAAAGTACTGTAAGATGGGGTAGGTAGGAATGTGAATTTGAAGTTACAATCAGACCAGCCATAATTTTGTTAAATGGCCCAGTCCTGCTCTTTGTACATATGCTTGCTGGATATATGATGTGGAGGTGCTGGTGTTGGACTGGGGTGGACCAAGTTAGAAGTCACGTTACCAGGTTATAGTCCAACAAGTTTATTTGAAATCAAGTTCTCGGGGTGCTCCTTCGTCAGGTGAAGCAGCCTGCGCTCCGAAAGCTGGCGATTTCAAATAAACCTGTTGGACTATAACCTCGTGTCGTGTGACTTCTGATTTTGTTGGATATAGTTGGAGTATTTTGAAGCACTACACATGGAAAGTAAAGCATAACTGAAATGGTTCAAATCACCTCATCATTGTGTTTATTGAAGGCTAATTGATAGAGATGCCATGATAAATCATTCCATTTTCACTGCATCATGCAACTACCAGGATGGTAAAAGGCAAACTGCTAGAACTTAGATTTTGTTTTTGTTGAGCAATTCCTGAACGTTTGTTGACACAGAAGCAGGACTAAAATTAATTGACAATGGGGGTTTCTGGCCAATTAGCCATTCAGCTCTACTTTCGCACTTTTTCAGTGACAGACAGCTAAAAGGGCAGGGGATAATTGGACAAATGTGTGCAGGCAAATTTGGAAAAAAAACATTGAATATATTGTTGTCACATGTACCGAGATACAGTGAAGTGTGTTGTTTTGGATGGTATACAGGCAGACTATATACCCCACAAACTGCATCAGGGTAGCAGAAGACAGTGCAGAATACAGTGTTATAACTGCAGAGAAGGTGCAGAGAGATCAGAATTGACATTTGAGAACTCTGTTCAAAAGTCTGATAACAGCAAGGAAGAAGCTGTTCTTGAATCGATTCGTACGTGCATTCAAACACAATTATAGTCTTATTCTCCGCAGTACTTGATGTTATCTACATTAATTATACGGAGGTCATCAGGTCATTTCTTATCAACTTTCTTCATTATGCCCATATTTATGGTGGAATTGCTTACCTGCTTTAACTGGTTCATTAGCACATCTGTATTGGGGTAGATTGCTTGCCTGTCCTCCTCATCTTTTTTACGTTTCTTATAGCGTGATACAGTCTTCTCAGCTGTTTTCTGTGATCTTTTGTTTTTGGGTCGTTTCTTTTCTTCCTCTGAATCCTTCCTCAGCAACTGATTCACCTTTCCGTCAAAGTTAAAACCAGTTGGTGGACTCTGTATTCCAACACACATCAGACATTTGTCTAAGTATTTTTTGTTTCAAGTGTAAAACATTTTTTCATGTCAAACACACTGAAGTTCCATTACAAGCAAGTTTACACTGCCCTTCACCAAATCTCTGTACTTCAATAAATTTTCCTCTGACTTTACTTCGAGTAGCAAAAACTTGCACAAAATGATATTTAATGGTTCACTGCAACTGAGCCCATTGTTTGTTAAAGTTGGAAAAGTACTATCAATTTCATTTTCTTTGTTGTAAAGATACCAAGTCAAAGAACAATAAAGTCAGTCAGTCAGTTCTAACACCAACTTAACTCTCAAAGTCAAATAGAAATAAACCATCTCAGATAGTAGGAACTGCAGATGCTGGAGAATCTGAGATCTCTAATGCTTTTCACCACCATTTCTCTTCCTTACATATGCATTTAAAAACTGTAAAAATTCATCAGCAGTTCAGATGTTTGGAGACACATGTATTGAAATGAACGGCAATGCAGAACATTTCTGCGTCCCTATTCAAAACATTCAGTTTAAAACTTTGATTTTGCAAGAAGTCTAATTCCCAAATAAATTCACTCATTTAAGAACCCTCCAATGATGCTTGAAGCTGAACAAAGTAATCAATCAGTCTGGAACCCAGGTGGTGCGAAGATTAAACTCTGGCATGGATTTGTTGTGATATCAGTGATAGGAGTACTGGCAGTACAATGTAATATCCCATATTATTCTGACATAATATGAATTTTGTTTTATTAACTAATTCATTAGGCTTCCAACTAAATTATACAAAATAGCTGTCGAGGTGCTTTTTTGACGATAAAAAAAATCCAATCTCTCCCCGCATTTGCCAATCATCACAATTCTATTTTTAAAAACTTGCTTTAGATTCCCTTTCACCAGATCTTCAAGTTTGCAGATGACACAAAGCTAGGTGGGAGGGTGAACTGTGAGGACAATACAGAGATGTTTTAGTGTGATTTGGACAAGTTGATTAAGTGGGAAAATGCACAGCAGAATTTTTTTCCCTTTATTCACGGGATGAGGGCGTCGCTAGCTTGGCTGCATTTATTGCCCATCCCTTATTGCCCAGAGGGCAGTTAAGAGTCAACCACATTGCTGTGGGCCTGGAGTCACACGTAGGCCAGACCAGGTAAGGATGGCAGTTTCCCTCCCTAAAGGACACTAGTGAACCAGATGGGTTTTACTGACAATCAACAATGGATTCATGGTCATCATTAGATTCTTAATTACAGATATTGATGGAATTCAAATTCCATCTGCTGTGGCGGGATTCAAACCTGGATCCCCAGAATATTATCTGAGTCTCTGGATTAATAGTCCAGCGATAATACCACTTGGCTATCACCTCCCCCTAAAATGAAATATAATGTGGATTAATATGCAGTTAATAACTTTGATAGCAAAAGCAGAAAGGCAGATTATCTGAATGGTGACAGATTGAAAAAGAGGGGGGTGGATTGAGACCTGGGCATCCTTGAACTCCAGTTGCTGAAATTAACCAAAAACCAAAAAGAACTGCGGATGCTGTAATTCAGAAACAAAAACAGAAACTGCTGGAGAAGCTCAGCACGTCTGGCAGCATCTGTGAAGAGAAATCAGAGTTAAATTTTGGGTCCACATGGTTTGTTGGCCTTCGTAGCGAGAGGATTCGAGTACAGGAGCAGCTGCAATTGTATAGGGTCTTGGGGAGGCCGCACCTGGAGTACTACGAACAGATTTGGTCTCCATATCTGAGGATGTCTGGTTATGGAGGGAGCGTAATGAAAGTTTACCAGATTGATTCCTGGGAAAGCAGGACAGGTGTATGAAGAAAGATTTGGTTGGTTAGGACTATATTCACTGGAGTTTAGAAGAATGGGGGGTGATCTCACAAAAACCCATAAAATTCAAAAATTCTAAACAGGGCAAACACTGAAGGATGTTCCTGATGACTGACTGAATAGACTGGGGGTGGTTTCACCAGAGCAGAGGAGACTGAGGGAGGTCATGATTGAGATGTATAAAATTATGAGGGGACATAGACAGTGTGGATCTGAGGAAATATGAGGCAAAGACTTTTGCTCAGAAAGTGAGGAGTATCTGGAACGTACTGCTTGTAAGGTGGTCGAGGAAGAATCTCTCAAAAAATTTCCACACTATCTAGATATGCACTTGTAATGACATGGCACACAAGGCTATGGACCAAGTGTACCATAGCTGGGTGGTTGATTTGACACTCTCGACCGCATCTCTTGCATTTCCCGCACCTCTGCCCTCACATCTCCTCCCCGCAACAAAAACAAAGACAGAATCTCCCTTGACCTCGTGTATCACCGCACTAACTTCTGGATTCAACGTATCCTTCTCCACCACCTGCAATCTGACCCCACAACCAAGGATATATTTCCCTCCCCACCCCTACCTGCCTTCTGTAGGGACCACTCTCTCCACGACTCCCTCGTCCGCTCCACCACCCCCGGCACCTCTCCCTGCAACCGCAGGAAGTGCTACATTTGCACCTACACCTCCCCCCCCCGCCGTCACCTCCATCCAAGGAACCAAGAAACCTTCCACATCAGACAGAGGTTCACCTGCACATCCGCCGCTCCCGATGTGGCATTCTCTACATTGGTGAGATCAACGGAGGTTTGGAGACCGCTTTGTCGAGCGCCTGCACTCTGTTTTGCGACAAATGACAACACCTTCCAGTCACAAACCATTTTAACACCCCCTCCCACTCCCTGGGCAACATGTCCATCGTGGGCCTCCTCCAGTGTCACAATGACGCCACCCGGAAACTGGAGGAGCAGCACTTCATATTCAGCCTTGGGAGCCTACAACCCAATGGCCCCAATGTGGACTTTACCAGTTTCAAAATCTCCCCACCCGTGGCCTTATCGCATGACCAACCCTCTCTTCTCTATTCCCCGCCTCCTTGACCTGACACAATTTGTCCGTCTTCTCCCTCACCTATCTGCTCCTCCCACCTCACTGACCAATCCCCACCACTGCCTATCTGCACTCACCTATCACCAGCCCCCCAGCCCCACCCCTCCTCTCTCTATTTATTTCAGAGCTCCCTTCCCCCTCCCCCATTTCTGAAGAAGGGTCCCGAACCGAAACATCAGCTTTCCTGCTCTTCTGATGCTGCCTGGCCTGCTGTGCTCCTCCAGCTCCACACTGTGTTATCTAAAACTCCAACTTGCCTGAATAGCACAATTTGTATGAATGCACGTTGCTGAAGTTGCTGATATGAATTCATACTATAATGTCACCCACAACAGAACATTAAAAGCACATTTAAAGAATAACCTGCATCATTTTACTTCCATTCTAGAGGCCGGTCACCTTGTACTCATCAGTAACAAATATCCGGTAGAAGTAGACATACTGCCAGATTAGGTGTCATGTATCTAGGTCATTCTGTGCTATTCTATGAATTTTTTAGAACACCATTATATTATGCACCAAAGTCAAAGTTTCCAGTTTCCTCTCTCAGCAAGCCTTCGTACCAGTTTTGAATTTTTTTTTTGGCTGAGAGGGATTTAAACACATATGAAGTTATATGGACTGTTTTACCTGTGCCAGCTCTTCAAAGAGCCGTCCAATCATATGTCGAAGAGAATCTGGGTTGAGACAACCTATAACCAAGAGGAAAGTATGTGGAGAGACACTCCTTTTGAAGGGAAAAGCTGAGTCTCCAAAGTCCCAGACAACCAAGGCTACTCTATCATTAGAGATGACTGGTGGTTAACCTGAGGGTTACCATGCCTCAGAGGAGGGGTGAAGTTGAGAAGCCAAAGCAAAAGCCTTCACAATGAACTCAGCCAATGGGAACTGAACCTGCACTGTTGGTGCCACTCTGCATTGTTAACCAGCTGTTTGTCTAACTCGGCTGCTAATTCATTTTAATCTTGAGTAACATTTCTCTCTTTCCCAATTTGGTTTGTAGAAAAAGTAAATTACAATTTGAAACATTCACTGTGGTTGGCAAACCATTTGTCCAGTGCAATGGTGGATGTAGAAAGCTGCTATCACCAGGAAAGAGAATGCTCAAAGTGAATCCATTTCCTATCATTGAAGTCACTGCAAAAGGACATTATCCGAACTAATTTAAATGCATTTTTGTCCAGAAGTCACATGGCTGGCACAAAACAACGTAAGATCAGAAAAGACTAAACAGTCAATCTGGCAATTCTGAAAAGGCTGAAATTCACCATCCTCTGTATTTAAAGTAGTTAAACCTAAATTGCCTTTCTCTTCCTTAAATTCTAGCATATCTGGCATCATAGGAAGTTAGTGGTACTGTAGGTGGACTAGTAATCTAGAGGCCCAGGCCAATGGTCTAGGGACATGGGTTTAAATCAGTAGTTAAGAATGAAGTCAGTCTTAGAAATAGTGACCACCAGAACTATCACCAATTCTTGTAAAAATCCAATGGGTTCATTAACGTTCTTTCATCCTTATCTGAACAGGCCTTCATGAGATTCCAGATCCACAGCAATATGGTCGATTTTTAAAACTGCACTCTGAAATGGCCTAAAGCAAGCCATTCATTTCAAGGGCAAGTATGGACAAGCAACAAATACTGAGCTTGCCAGATATGATCCCATGAAGGAAAAAGAATATGTCTTTCGGTGCTGCATGCTTTTGTGCTATTCAAAGTTTAGGACCAGAAGTTAAAATTGCCACAATAAATCATCTCATGTATTTCGGCCTGTGAAAGAAAAAAAATTGTGTACGATTTAAAGAGCTGTTTGGATAATTTTCAAAACTCTAACCTAAAGCTAGCTGCTAATTACAATTAATAATTAAAAAAAAACGAATTGCAGCAGATGGGAGTTAAATACATATGCCAGCCGTGATATAATCGAATAGCAGAACAGACTTTAGAGGCTGAATGGCCTATTCCTGTTTCTAACCTAGTTCACAGCTTGTTTGAAAACTTAAACTTTTAAGATCGTAATACAGCATTATCAGCATGTCCCTTCTGAGCTTGATGATCACTCCAGTGCTGTGCAAGACACATTTTCATCAGTACTTTACATAATTGTAGTCAATGGATATTGTATGTTCTATCAAAGCAAATATTTGATTTACCTACAAATTTACGTATTGTATGTTTTTGAAGGAAGTAACCAAAATCTTCAAATGAAAGACACATTTTTAGTGGCAGTTCAAGGAAGTTACCTGTAATTGTGTTGCTTTACAGAATACCTTATAATATTAGAAAAAATTTGAACTGAATTTCAGAAATGTACATTTGTAAACATTTTGGGAAGGCAATGGCCTAGTCGTATTATTACTAGACTACTAATCCAGAGATCCAAGCAGTGTTCTGACAAGCTGGGCTCAAATCCCGCCACAGCAGATGGTGAATTTGAATTCAATAGAAACTGGAATTAAGAGTCTAATCATGACTATGAATCCATTGTCAATTCTCAGAAAAAACCCATCTAGCTCCCTAATGTCCTTTAGGGAAGGAAACTGCCACTCTAACGTTTTGATTCTGGAGGACTCCATCCTTAGCTGCTCTGGCCTACATGTGACACCATACCCGCAGCAATGTGGCTGACTCTTAACTGTCCTCCCGACATTTAGGGATGGGTAATAAATGTTGGCCTAGCCAGTGACACCCTCATCCCACGAATGAATAAAAACCACAACTCTCCACACTATCCTGAAAAATAACATCTTGTAATTAATTTGTGTATAAAAAACATATAGCATTACCTGTCCCTCAAATAGACTTTGTTTCTTTAATTTGCTTTCCATACATGATTCACCTTCAGGTTTTTCTTCTGCTATTTGGTGAGGAGGCAATGGAACATTTTTGTTCTTCAGTAGATGTTTCAAAAGCTCATTTCCTGATTCTTGCTTTGATCCTGACACATTTCCTGCAGCTGGACTCTGTGTTGAAACAGCAGACTGCTGCAAACTGACCTTTCCCTCTACCTTTACTGAATTCTGTGTTTCCACCTTGGACTGAGAATTATCTTGGCAATGTGTGGTTTCTGCCTGTTCCACTTTCACAGTGTTTGTCTGAGCATCGTCATTTGATGAACTGTGATCTGTTTCAGACGGCAGACCAACTTGTTGTGTCGTAAGTCTGTGTGGTGCACTGACACTGGAAGAAAGTTGCCGTTCAAGTTCAGATGGAGGCTGGTGGTCATTTGAATTGTCAACCGATTGGTTTACCTCTTCATTCTCCTGTTCACTCTGATTAAACCCAAATTCCCCAGGCAGATTAACCGATGGGTTAGACGCAGAGTCAGAAATAGTGGGTGTAGCTGGTGCAGTGATGTCAGAATGAGGAGTAGATGGCGTCTTGACTGAGTCACTGTCATCGTCTTTCTTCTTCTTTCTGTTTCTTCTCTTCTTCCCTTTTTCCTCTGGTATAATGTTGGAATAAAGTTGAATGAGAGATTGACCTGGACCTGGGTAATTGCCTGGTAGTTGCATTCCATTATCTGGGCCAAAAGAAGCTCCATCGCTATTTCCCTGAGAGCCTGCAGGCATACATGGCCCAAAGGGAGCTCTTGGCTGGTTTTGTGGAAAGCCAAGTCCAGATGGTACCTGATTCATAGGATGGACAGGTGGGCATCCACCTGGGACAGTATGGGCTTCAGGCCCAAATCCTGGTGCTCCCACTGGTCTACCATCATTGCATTGCATGAAAGATGGTTGAGGTGATGAGTTCATGAACTGTGGAAATAGATTCTGTTGCTGGGAAGGAACAAGTCCCATCTGCTGAACTTGCTGCTGCTGCTGAGGCCTTTGAGACTGCATGAAATCACAAAGCAAATCAGAATTAAAATATGGCATTTGAGAAAGGGCAGGTGTGTTTAAAGCTGCCATGCCTTGCTGTTGCTCCATTTCCATCCTCTTCTGCATAGCACGATGGCGTTCCACTTCCTTCATGAGCTGGATTCTCTGCCTTTCCTGTTGCTCTCGTAAACGCTCCCTCCGTTCCCTCTCCTGAAAGCTTTCACTGAATGGATTGTTGTCATCAAATTCAACTCGTGGTGGTACGTTGGACTGTTGATTTGTTGTGACAGTTGCTGCTTGAGTAGATTGTGTGCTCGTTACTGGCAACTGAGGTGGTGCAGGGTGTTGCATCCCTGGGTTACCCACCCCCACTGGCATGTGGGGAGGCGCAGTTGCATTAGCATTGCGAGGTTGCCATTGAGGAGCATTAGTCATTCTAGTAGCATTTGGCTGGTTTGGAACAGATGGCTGAAGTTGTTGTTGGGGTTGTTGTGGCATTACTGAGAAGCTCTGTTGATTTACTGAGGATGGTGCCCCACCTTGGACTGAGGAGGGCTGGACTGATCCAGTCGACATCATGGTAGATGATGGCATTGCACATTGTTGCTGCTGTTTCAGACGATATTCCTCCATAAGTTCTGAATGTTCCTTTTGTTGTTTTCGAATCTGAAAAGTAACATTTTATGCATCAAAAATCAAATTCATGTGGTATTTGTTTGAATACTAGACTAGTCTGAGCTTCAGTGGCTCTGCTAGTTAAAATGGTGAATATCTGTATCACACAGTCCAGGAATGCTGTGGCCTGGACTAAATTAGTTGACCTCAGCTGAGCCAAAAGTGCAGGAACTATAAATAATCTCAGCAAAGGTTTAGGAAAAGAAGTTTGGCCAGGACACCAACTCCTGCCATTGTCTCCATACCTATGTATGAAGCTGAGTGCAGGATTGAGACCAACTGCAAAGCCTACTGTGTTGGGACACGCAGCATGTTAGATGACTTTTAAAATTTCCCAAGCTGTAATATTGGGCTGAAGAACGGAAGAATACCTGTTCCAACTGCTTCTGCACCATACTCTGCTGCTCAGTTACATGCTTAAGCTGTTCTGCATCTTCTTCTGGAAACTCTCGTCCAGCCTTTTTGGCAGTACGCTGCTTAGCGGAGAGTGCCTTCTTAGATTTTCGGTGTGTCCCAATTTGTTCCTCAAGATATTTTTGCTGTATTTGGAGGAGCTGCTGGGTATCCTGCAGCCATTTCTCATACTGTTTCTTCTGTGCATTATCTGGAAGAGAGTGTTTTTTTTTGTTATTCTATTTCTATTTCTAACACTTAATCAGAATAGGAAGAAAAATACTTGCATTTACTACAATGCCTTTCAATCACAGAACATCTCAAAAGGGCTTTGTAGCCAATGAAGTACTTCTGAACTGTAGTGATTGTTAGAAATTGTGGTAAATAGTGACTAATTTGTGCACAGCAAGCTAGGACAAACATTCCACATTTTGATGATGGTTGGGGAAAAGATATTGGCCAAGATAACTTCTCTGATTTTTTTAAAATTAAAAATGGTGCCAAGGGATCTTTTACTTTATTTCATTGGGGAAAATACATTGATGCAAGCATCTCAAGAGCCAAACAGAAATGTTCAATTAAGTAGGTATATAAATTTAACAAGCTTAGGAAAGTGTGCAGAAAAGATTTACAGGAACTGGAGAGTTTTAGTTATTAAGTTGAGGCTGGATAAGCTGGGACTTATTCTACTGGAGTGCAGGAGGTTGAAGGGTGACTGTACAGAGGTTTATAAAATCATGAGGGGCAAAGATAAGGTGAAATGCAAGGTCTTTTCCCTAGGGTTAGGGAGTTCAAAACTAGAGAGTATAATTTTAAGGTGAGAGGAAAAAGATTTAAAGTGACCCAAGGGCAACCTTTTCACACTGAACTGCCAGAAGTGGTAGATGCAGGTACAGTTACAACATTTAAAAGACAATTGGACAGGTACATGAATAGGAAAGGTTTACAGGGATATGGGCTAAACGGAGGCAAATTGGACTCATTTAGTTTGGTAAACCTGGTTGCCATGGACGAGTTGGACCGAAGGGTTTGTTTCTGTGCTGTATGTCTCTACGACTCTCTAGCTGCACTTTTTAAAATTAAACAAGTTACTTACTCATAAAACCTGGACCAAAAGATGGAGGATTTGGTCGTGACATTTGGGGTGGCAAACTCCCATCCTGAAAATAAATTCAATCAAAGAATATTTCATCATTTTCAGTCAAATAGATTTCTACACGAGAAAAATTTAACTACTACTCAAAGGACTGCTGATCCACAACAGAATATTAATTTTCGTTTTTGAAGAGATGCTGTCATGGATAATGGAACAATTAGATCATGATTGCCAAGCTGTGTTTAAATTTTCAACCAGTCAGGTTGACTTTGATTAGTCAAGGCACTGCCTTGGATGAACCAGAAAATATTGCCATCTATTTGGTTGGGCTGAAACAGGTAGAGAGTGTGTTCCAGCAACAAGATGGTGATGGAGCAGCAGTGCAGTGTGAGGGCTCCTGCCCGAAGCTCATCTGCTCCGTCTGGTTTATTTTTTCTTCCTTCACAGCTATTTTTTTCTTACTCTAATCAACTCACCTTCTGTGGAGAGATCGATGGGAACCATGAGAGCGTGCAGGGGAGAGCGAGAAAAGGAGCCCATGTGGAGTGCAGTGAGCCAGCATAGGGGATAGTGACAGTGTGCAGGGAAGAGTGAGCACAACTTGCAGGACAGCGAGCCAATGCAGCGGTGACAGAGATCTTCCAGCATCTGTGGTGGCAGTGAGACCAGGCAGCCCAAGGTCTGCTGGCATCTTTGGTGACAGTGACAGCGACAGCGACAGCGACAGCAGGTAGCTTGAGGTCTCCCGGCGACTGTAGCTGTGTCAAGTGCGGGAAGATCAAGCCCCAAAAGGGCTCGAATCCTTTTGGGGAGTGCGAGCCCAGCATAGTTAAGCACTTAAGAAGGACTGCAATGTTGAACTTTTAACTTTATTTCTTTATTTTTCTAATTTATACTAAGAAGGATTTTTCTGTTGAACTTTTAACTATTTTTCCTTACTTTTATACTTGTTACCTAGATAACATGCTAAATTGCGTTGTCGTATCCAGGGCTGTGCAGCCTTCGTGGATTAGCCATGGGAAAGGTAGGGTTACAAGTAGGGGTGGGATGCTCTTCAGAGGGGCAGTGTGGACTTGATGGGTCGAATGGCTAGCTTCCACAGTATAGGAGTTCTATGATTCTACCTTTGTACCTAAGATGGTGCCAGGAATGGTGACATTAAAAAATATACAATCTACTCCTGTGTTACGATACTTGAGCACGTGACAATAAAATCTAACTCTCATTCTAAATTCTACTTTTAAAGAACAGGGCCATATGTATAAATGTATGTAGCTTTTGTATGCACAACTGTGTCACAGAGTCCAATTGACAATGATAAATCAGTTGTAAGCATAATTCTTTGTGCAGGATGTTACAAAGAACTAATATTACTTCAAGAGCCCACAAGTTCTTTTCAACTATACTTACTTAAGAGGGGAATGGAGTAGGATTAAACAAGTAGAATACACAGAAAAATACAAGCACAGATTCAATGAGCCAAATGTTTGATTTCTGTATTGTTGTGATTCTTTGGAGTGGATAGGAGGCAAATCGTGGATAAGAACTAGCAAGTTGAAATTATTTATAACATGCTTCATAAATTTCAAAATACAAACAGACGATATTTTAGTTCATCTAATTAAATAATTACCGGGCCAACTCCTTGAAGGACGGGATTCTGTCCACTGTCACCACTCTGTGTACTAGACATTTGCTGACTCACAAATGGAAATCTTTAAGAAACAAAGAATAAATGCAGTTAGAAATACTGACTGGTTTCTTCAAGCAAACTTTAATCTTAAAGTGAAAGGTAACAATAACCATTCCCCATGATCTTCAGACACAAACACAAAGCATTTTCCTGGTTTCAACGTTTATAAAATAAAAAACTCTGTAAAGAACATGCTGAACATGGACATTTGACAGTCCAGAAACTCCTAATGTGCATCGTGACAGTGTAGTGATTTTTCTGTCCGTAAGAAAGCGGTCATGCCCAAATTTTGTTTATTTGCTGCGCACATCTCAAATTCCATCGAGTGTTGAAGAATTAATGAATCCTCCAAATAGCCACAGATGAACCGGTTTGGTTTCAATCATTAACTCACTTTCCACTTTGCAAACTAACACCAGATGCATACAATACTGTGAATTAGGAGCAAGCGCAGGCCATTCAGGGTCTTAAAGCCTGCTTTGCCATATAACAAGATCCTGGTGGATTCAATTACGGCCTCAAACGCACTTCCCTACACACTCTCCAATACCTTTAAAGTCTCTTGTTAGTCAAGAATCTATCTTTGCCTCAAAAATATTCAATTATCCGGTCTCCACTGCTCTCTGAACTCTCAACCTTTGGCAGGGAAAGAATTCTCAGCTCTGATTTAAATGTGACATCCCTTACTTTGTTGAACTGATTCACAGGATGTGGATGGCACTGGCCATCCCTAACTGCCCTTGGGAATGTGGTTGAGACACTTTTGTGAACTGCTGCTGTTTCTTAGTTTCGTCTCTTCCACTGGGGGAAAACATCATTTCAGCACCCACCTGTCAAATGCCCCCATCCATCAAGTCCAATCAGGATCTTGCAAGTTTCAACATAATTACTTTTCATTCCTCTAAACTTCAAATGGATACTGGTCCATCTGACCAACTTTTCCTCTTAAGATAAACCCCTCATCCCAGAAATTAGGTGTGTGAACATTCGCTGAACTTTTTCAGTGCAATACAACTGCTGCAAAACACTCTTACTTTGATGTTCCATCCCACTGGCAATAAACTGTAATGTGACGCTTGCCTTCCTGAGTATTTGCTGTAACTGCACACACTAACCTTTTGTGGTTCATGTACCAGGACACCCAGATTCCTCTGTACCTCAAAGTTCCTCCGGTATCTTAAAGATTAGTTGGCTACATGACATCAAATTACCATAAAATCTTTGAGTGTGATCGAAACAAGCATCTTTCAATTTACTGCCCTTTACATTTAGCACCAATTAAATTAATCTGAAAGTGAAATGTGTTCTTTTGCAAGGCATTGGCCAGACCTCACTTGGAATACTTTGTCCAGTTTTGTCTTCCTCACATGATGAGTGGTAATGATCAGTTGGAAAGGGTGCTAAGTAAAACTAGTTCCCAGTCTGAAGAATCCTGGTTACTGGGAAATGTGACAGAGTTGGACACTTGACAATTGAGACGTAAAGGCTTCGGGTTGATCGAATTGTGGTTTCGAAGGTAATGACTGGGATAGATTTGGTTCCAGATGATAGTTTGTGCTGATTAACAAGGTTAAAAAGAGGAGCAGGGGTCACATACGTAACAAGAACAGAAGCTGCTGGAAAAACTTAGCAGGTCTAGTAGCATCTGTGAAGAAAAATCAGAGTTAACGCTTTGAGTCCGATAACTTGTTCCTCAGAACTGATGGTAGCTAGGAAAATGTCAATTTATATGCGGAAGATAGGGTGGGGTGGGGGGTGGGGTGGGGGGGGGGGGGGGGTGGTGGAGTAAACAATATGTGGGGTTAGATCCCAAAGAAAGAGAAGAACAGTTGGATAGACAAAGGAGTTAGACAAAGGATCTGGTTAAGAGAGTAAATAGCTTTTAATGAACACTGTTAGTGGCTAACAATAGGTAGTGTGTGATAACAAGGCATGGTGTGTGCGGTAAGGAGCTAGGACATGGGACGAGTTCAAGCCTTAAAATGATTAAACTTGATATTGAGTCCAGAGGGTCCCCAAGCGGTAAATGAGGTATTGTTCTTCCAGCTTGCGCTGAGCTTCACTGGAACACTGCAGCAAGCCAGAAACAGAGATGTTGGCCAGGGAACAGAGTGGTGTGTTAAAGTGGCAGGGACTTGAAAGCTCAGGGTCTTTTTTTGCGAGCAGAATGTAAATGTTCTGCGAAGCAGTCACCCAGTTTATGTTTTGTCTCCCCAATGTACAGGACGCCACATCATGAGCAGCAAATGCAATAAACCAGATTGTGGGAAGTGCAGTTAAAGTGCTGATTCACCTGGAATGTATGTTTGGGCCCTTGGATACTGGGGAGGGAAGAGGTAAATGTGCAGGTGTTATACCTTTAGCAGTTGCAGCGGAAGGTGTCATGGGGGGTGTTGGGGGTGAAGGAGTAGTAAATCAGGTGTCCCAGAGGAAACAGTCTCTGCAGGAGGTGGACAAGGGAGGGGAGGGGAATGTGCATCTAGCGGTAGCATTTTGCTGGAGGTGGCAGAAATGGCGTCTGATGATCTTCTGGATGTGGATGCTGTGGGATGCTAGGTAAGGACAAGGAGAATCCTATTGCTGTTGAGGGAGGAGAGGGCGTCAGGGCGGAAGTGCAGGAGATGGGTCAGACCCGGTTGAGGGGCCTGTCGACAATGGTACTGGGGAATCCTCGATTGAGGAAGAAGGTGGTCATTTCAGAGGCTCCCTTGTCAAAGTTGGCCTCATCTGAACATATGCGACAGAGACTGAAGAACTGAGAGAACGGGATGGAGTCTTTACAGGAAGCAGGGTGCGAGGACGTATAGTCCATGTAGCTGTGGGAGTCAGTGGGTTTATACTGGATATTAGTGGCCATGTCTATCCCCAGAAATGGTAACAGAGATGTTGAGGAAGGGAAGGGAAGGGAGGAATCAGAGATAGACCAGGCAAAAGTGAGGGTAAGTTGGAGAGTGGCTGATAAGGGTTGTGCTATTGTAGCATAGCATACTGACCTCTACATGGCAGAGGCTGAGCACCAGCTCTCAGATACCTCCTCCTATTTTCCCTGGATCATGACGCCCACCACGGCATGCACATCAGGCCATTGTATCAACTATGGTAACTGACCTCAGTCCATCTGGTGACTTCTCCCCACCACTGCCTCCAAGCTGCTAGTCTCCCTGTCCTGCACAGCTCACTTCTACCTCCTTCCAAAAATTCACTCACAGGACTGCCCTGGTAGAACCATTGTCTCAGCCTGCTCCTGCCTCACAGAACTCATCTCTTCCTACCTTGACTCAGTCTTCTCTTCCCTGCCCACGTACATCTGAGATTCCTCTGACGCTTTACACTAATTTCATAATTTCCGGTTTCCACTCCAGCCACCTCCTCTTTACACGTCCATTTTTCACCAGGAGGGTCTTAGGGCTCTCCGCTTCTTCCTCGAGCAGACCATCACCCACCACCACCCTCCTCTGCTTGGGCAAGCTCGTCCTCACACTCAATAACTCTCTTTTAACTCCTCATTTTCCTCATGTCAGATGGGTGGTCATGGGTAGGCAAATGGGCCCCAGTTATGCCTGTCTCTTCCTGGAGTATGGCGAACATTCCTTTTTCCAGTCCACAACCACAACTCTTTCTCCGATATATTGACGATATCATCAGTGCTGCGTTCCCCTCTCATCCGGAATTGGAAAAGTTAATCGACTTCACTTCCAATTTCCACCCTGCCCTCACTTTCACCTGGTCTGTCTCTGACTCCTTCCTTCCCTTCTTCGACATGTCTGTTCCCAATTCTGGGGATAGACCGGCCACTAATATCCACTATAAACCCACCGACTCCCATAGCTATATGGACTATACATCCTCGCACACTGCTTCCTGTGAAGACTCCATCCCATTTTCTCAGTTCCTCCGTCGCATATGTTCCAAGGGGGCCAACTTTGACAAGGGAGCCTCCGAAATGTCCACCGTCTTCCTCAATCGAGGATTCCCCAGTACCATTGTCGACAGGGCCCTCAACCGGGTCCAACCCATCTCCTGCACTTCCGCCTTCACCCCTTCTCTTCCCTCCTGCAACAGCGATAGGGTTCCCCTTGTCCTTACCTACCATCCCACCAGCATCCACATCCAGAAGATCATCAGCTGGCATTTCCACCACCTCCAGCAAGATATCACCACCAGACACATATTCCCCTCCCACCCCTTGTGTGCCTTCCGCAGGGACCATTCCCTCGGGGATGCCCTGGTCCATTCTTCCGACACACCCAACACACCCCCCACAACCCCACGGCACTTTACCCTGCAACCGCCAAAGGTGTAACACCTGTCCATTTACCTCCTCCCTCCCCACTATCCAAGGGCCCAAATACACCTTCCAGGTGAATCAGCATTTTACCTGCACTTCCCACAATCTAGTCTGCTGCATTTGCTGCTGACAATGTGGTCTCCTCTACATTGGGAAAACAAACTATAGACTGGGTGATCGTTTCACAGAACATTTACGTTCTGCTCGCAAAAATGACCCTGAGCTTCCAGTTGCCTACCATCCTGCTCCCTGGCCAACATCTGTGTCTCTGATTTGCTGCAGTGTTCACAAGCTGGAAGAATGCTTGGGGACCCTGCAGCCCTCTGGACTCAATATTGGGTTTAATAACTTTAGGGCCTAAACCCTCCCATGTCCTAGCCCCCCTACCTCTCATACCAGGTCTTGTTATCACATAGCCTGCCATTACACTCCACTTGCTGTTGGTCACAAACAGTCCCCATTAACAACTATTCACCCTCCCAGCCTGACTGTTATCAACTCGGTCTGTCAACTGTTCTTCTCTCTCTTTCAGTCCTATCTCTACCTATCGCTTACTCCTTACCTTCTCCTCCGACCCTAACTTCTGCTTATAAACCGACATTTTCCTAGCTACCATCAGTTCTGAGGGAGGGTCACCAGGCCTGAAACTTTAACTGTGATTTTTATTCACAGATGTAGCCAGACCTGCTCAGCTTTTCCTGTAACCTGTTTTTGCTCCTGATTTACAGCATCCACAGTTCTTTTGGTTCTCAGTTGCAAATTTAAGTTCTACAAGCGAAGTCTAGGTTAGATATTGGCAGGTGAGCTGTTTTCCTGAGAACTACAGACTCCTGGAGTGCATACTGATTTGAATTCTTTGAGATACCTTAGGTGGGGCGGACATCATCTCTAACCAAAGATGTGTAAGGTATGGAATTTAGGGTCAGAGTGATCCCTTGGACTAGTTTTGACCACCTAGATTGATTAGGTTGGAATTTGACAGAGTGGGAACTTAATTTTGGGTTTCACTTAACCACAATGTAATTAGGGGATACAGTGGTTGGAATCGAGAGTCTTTACCTTTTTGTTGTGTTCAATTGAAAGGACATTTGTTTATAGTTTAGACTTCACATAATTTCATTTGAAAATCAATTTTTCGCACACAAATTCCAACAACAATGCAAATCCAATGATAACATATGTGCATTTCTTCGGATTTAGAAATAATACTAAGTGTCTCGAATTATTCATACTGATTCAACCCTCAAGATTGTCCAGAAAAAGGTATTGTGAACAACCTCTGACTTTTAACTATGCTGTTGCATCAAACATGCCGGCACTCAAAAGTCAGGAAACACTGCCAGATCTGTAGTTATCCTACATTATAAAGAACTATACGCTGATGTACAAGAACCACACTGGGTTATTCTTCCTCAAATGTCCCATCTCTGATTCTGACAAAAGATTTGTGCTCCTAATGCATATGTCCTATTGAAAACTTTACATGTCAAATTTTACATGTCACCACGATAGCAGCATGATTTCAAAACCACAATACAGCAATTGTATGACAACCAACCTTGATAGCTGAGGAAGAGATTAGTAGAACCACCATAGCCAAAAATATACTTTGTATCAATTTGCATATAGTGCAACTAGTCGTTGTGTGGACAGAATAGGCACACAGCAATATTAAATGCCTTGGATTGAAGTTATGACCCCAAATGACTTCAAGTATTATTTGATAATAGGTCAGTTTCAATATCATGAGACAGGATCTGGCAAACACAGAATTGGATCAACGACTTGAAGGTAAGACTACATTTGGAAAGTGAAAAGAGTCACAATTTTTAAGAAACATTTGGACGAGCACACAAAATGCCAGGGCACACTAAGTGCAGGTAAATGGCATTTATGTAGTTTGGAACAAAACCAAATTGCTGGAAAAGCTCAGCAGATCTGGCTGAGCCTTCCAGGGTCACCGGACCCGAAACGTTAACTCTGTTTTCTCCTTCACAGATGCTGCCAGACCCGCTGAGCTTTTCCAGCAACTTTGGTTTTGTTCCTGATTTACAGCATCCGCAGTTCTTTTGGTTTTTATTTGTGTAGTTTGGTGTTAGTTGGTTGGCACATAGATGGTGGACCAAAGGGCTTATTTCATAGCTTTATGACCATGACTCTAATATAGGGCCAATTCACCACCTAATTGTACATCAATGTTAGGAAAACTGATCTTTGCTCAATTATTAATGTTCCAAAAATATGCAATGCAGCTTGAGGCTTTTGAAAGTGGGGAAACTAAGTTAGTGGACTACCCTTGCACGCTTCATATTAAGAGGAGTTGTGTAATTAAATCACTTGCTCAGCTTGTGCTCTTTCAGCAGAATACAGATTTGATGTCGAGATTTCAGGATACAATACGATTGCTCATACCTGGATTTCTTTCATTGCCAAGTGGGAAAAGAAATAAATGATTCAGTTAAATGAGCTATGTAGAAGGAAACAATTTTGAGGATACTGGAGAAACATTAATAGCTAGAAGAAACTTTTATTAAACTTGCACCATGCTGCTCTACAGAAACAGGTAAACCAGAGAATTTTACTGGTGGATAGCAACTGGGGGCATAACAAAGCCACACAGGAGGTATGGCCTGTGCATAATTACAATGAAGTGGTAGGCTACTGGTATGAACCAAGCAAGCACTAACTGGATGATTCATTTACATTTGTTTTGGGGGATAAGAGAATATTTCAGTAAATGCATAACTATGGTTGATCAGAAATTGCCGGAGGAGAAGACTATGTTCGGGGGAAGGGAGATCAAGCACAAAATAGACTTTTTTGTGACAAAGTAAAAAAACAGTAATTTTATGGGTAATTGCATGGAAGGCCAGCCACTGGATCCCAAAAGCATGTTCAGAAGAAGCAATGTGCAGGAAATACGATAGAATGTTTTACAAAAAATGGAACCGTGAAGCCAGGGACCATGATGCTGGGGTCAAAGGGGGATGACTCACTTGCCCATCAATTTTATTTATAGGCTAATTTCTAACTCATTTCTTTTAATTAATCAGCTATTCTTCCTGAAAGAAAGTGATTGAATCAAGAACTCCTACAAAAGCAAATATTTTACAACACATGTAATCTTTACCTATTCATTACTATTTGTGGCATTCCCAAATTACTTTGGGCCATAACTCTATTGATCCCCTTCAAGGCCACCATTTTTGCTTTCATTATTGGATCAGTGATTGCGTCAAAATCTAGAAAAAGAATACAAGACAATTCAGTACAATTTAATAAAAATATTTTCACATTTGTGAAGTATACAACGTAATACATTATAATTTTATTTCAGAAAGGTTCTGGTTCGTTGGAAGCAGAAAGAATTTATTAGGTTTTAGCACTAATGTAAATGCCACCTAACTCAGGGACCGGAAGTAACATCTATCCTAGCAGCATGATTAATTTCCTCTGCTTCTGAAATGTATACCATGTCAGAAGAACATTCCAAGATAGTGATACACTTCAATACTAACCATATAAATGGCCAAATGGGTAACTGTCCCAGGTAGTCAGCATTTAGTTACACAGACAAGGTTGATTATCAGTTTCAATGTGGGTCACGTTAAGGAACACTTAACTCACATCAAGGAACACGTAACTCACATCTGTGGCATCAGATGTGGAAGGTGAAATATGCAATACAATAGCCTTGATCAAAATGAAAACCTGATTACAGAGATCTGATGGCAGTCTCAAGGGTAGACAACATTACAACGGCCTTGCCAGTGACACCAACTTTCCAGGAAAGAACAAAGACCCAGTACTTTCTTTCGTTGTACCATCACATCAACTGCCTCCTGATCACGTAGCACTGCTGGATCTGATGAAGTCTGTCAATTTGCTTGTGCTGTAAAGCTAGCATGGGGTTATTTGGGTTCACAAGTCACTTCAAAGCATCTTTCCCAACTGCTTCACTGATTCGACAAATAACGTTATTTCATTTGTATAGATATCACCTGGATGTAAATTCAAGCAAGGGAAAAACATAGAACAGTACAGCTTAGGAGCAGGCCGTTTGGCCCACCATGCCGGTGCTGAAAATGATACTATTTTAAACTAATCCCCTCCGCCTGAGAATATGGTCTGCATATCTTTATTCCCTGCCTGTGCATGTATCTGTCTAAACACTAAAAACATGCCTTGCACATTTCCTTTAAATTTACCCCCTCTCACCTTAAACCCACATACCCTAGTACTTGACATTTCCACTGTGGGAAAAAGATTGACTGTCCACCCTATCCATGCCCCTCAGTTTTATATACTTCTATCCACTTGCCCCTCAGCCTCCAACACTAGGAAAAACAATCCAAGTTTGTCCAACCTATCTTTATGGCTAATATACTCCAATCCAGGCAACATCCTCGTAAACCTCTTTTGTAACCTCCACATCCTTCCTTTAGTGTGGCAACCAGAACTGCACACAATAATCCTGAAATGATCCAACTAAAATTTTATAAGGCTGCAACATGACTTGCGAACTTTTATACTCCTTGCTCCGACTGAATAAGGTAAGTATGCTGTATGCTTTCTTTACTACTTGATATATCTGTGTTGCCACTTTCAGGGAGCTATGGACTTGCAACCCAATCTCGCTCTGTATTTCAATGCTCATAAGGGTACTTACTGTATACTTTCCACTTGTATTTAACCTCCCAAAATGCATCCCCACACTGTCCAGATTAGTATCTATCTGCTATGTTCCCATGCAACTTTCCAACTAACTTTTAGCATGCTCTATCCTTTGACAACCGTCCTTACTATCTACAACTTCACTAATTTTGTGTTGTCTGCAATCTTACTAATCAGACAAGCTACATTTTCACCCCTATATATTACAATACATCTCTGCTGTGTTGCAAAACAATTACTGAACTCAGGCATAACTACATACATGAGACACAAAATCAAGGTGAAATGACGGAATGCCAAATTTCACTTTGGTAAATTGCTAATTCATTGCCACTTTTGAGCATATGAGAGCCAGTCAGACGTTCAAGACTTAAGGAAACTCAGCCCACATGGCAATTTAGACCTGTTCAGAGCAGATATCACCTTGGTCATGAGGTGAATGTCAATAACTAGATATATTATTGCAACCATAAACATCTACGTAAAACTAGAGAAACTGTGCCATCTCTGCCACCATGCAACGCATCAGGGAAGGAGTGATCTCATCACCTGCAAAGTACAGAACAGACATCAGTCCCAAGTGCCCACTATTTCCCATCAAAAGTTACCATGCAAACAACATTCCCTGGAGATGGAACATCACAAAGGAAAGAGCAGGTACCAGGGGAATAGCCAATGCCAACACAAATGCACACCACTAGGAGGCTTGCATGATTTAAAAACCATGGATGCAATGCATGTGCCGAGATTGAAAATGAAACTGATGGAAGTTAACATTGTGTTATTAATGAATCACACATTTTTTTGTGACCAGGTATATTGGGAAACTTGTAATTGCAAATAATTGTGCTTTTTTTTTTAAATGAAAAGAGGGATGTTTGAAGAAACGCAACTGGACACTTTGTGCACTGCTAGCTTGTTGCAACCATGTAACTTCTATCTTTGATATAACTTCTTGTGTGCAGCCAGTGGCAGTCATTAAATGCACATCACTTGTAATAATTTTTTAAAAATTCATTAACGGGCTGAGGGTATCACTGGCTAGGCAGCATTTATTGCCCATTCCTAACTGCTCAGAGGGCAGTTGAAAGTCGACCACATTGCTGTGGGTCTGGAGTCACATGTAGGCCAGACCAGGTGAGGATGGCAGTTTCCTTCCCTAAAGGGCATTAGTGAACTAGATGGGTTTTTTCTGACAATTGACCATGGATTCATGGTCACCTTTAGATTCTTAATTCCAGATATTTTATTGAGTTCTAATTCTACCATCTGCCATGGCGGGATTTGAACCCAGTTCACCAGAATGTTATATGGGTCACTGGATTAACAGTCCAGTGATAATAATACTACTAGACCATCGCCTCCCCAATCTTAACAACTGTCACTGTTTGTGGTAAAAATCAACCTGTTTCACTCAGGTTCTTTAAGGAAGGAACTGTGCAAACCTTACCTAGCCTGGTCTATACCGGACTCCAGACTTATAGCAACATGGCTGACTCTTAATTGCCTCTGGCAATGACCTAGCAAGCTGTACAGTTCGAGGAAGGGATAGGCAACGAATGCTGGCCTTGTCAGTGTCAGCCACATTCCATGAAAGAATTAAGAAAAAACTTGGGATAAAAACTTTGCTGTATTTACAATTGACAATGTAACAAGAAAACAAAGAAGGGATTTAATTGCGCATGCACAAGAAGACAGGTGTGAATAAAATCTAACATAAAAAGTACACTGGAATATGCTGAAAAAGCAAACAATTTTTCTCGTCAAGCCACTTGAACAGGCAGGGTATAGAGGGATACGGACCATTTGTAGGCAGATGGGTTTAGTTTAGAACTGTATTGTCATCGGCACAGACACGGTAGGCCGTAGGGCCTGTTCCTATGCTGTACTGTTCAATGTTCTAAGACAAAGGAGCAAAACGAAAAAGATCAGATCACCATTTATACTTCAATGTTCCTAGCACTGATGTATTATTAAATTCATTGCTCACATCGCTGATTACTGAAAAAAGATAAATCAAGGTAAACTCACCAATATTGGGGAAGAAAGAATCAGTGGATCGATGGCGTATCATAGCCTGCATTTGTCGCTGTTGCTGCTGCTCCTGCCTTTCTTGTTCCAAAAGGTCCTGTAAAAGGAGAGGTTGCTCTTCTAAAAGAAGGGGTCGCTCACGCTGACCCTGAGGACCCACTGCCTGAGGGAGCATAATTTGTTGTGTGCTGGGTAGACTACTGGGACCTGGTTGATTTGCAATAACCACATTTTGACTTGGCTGTTGGCCTGCTGTATAATTCTGGCCAGGCGGCTGTGTTTGGAAAAAGGCCCGATTTCCCGAAGTGCCTTGTGAAAAGCTACGGTTTAATCTTTGACCCATCTGCAAGTTTTGATTTATTGCATTGTCAGGAATTTGCCCTGGAGAGACTGCCATATTAGGAGATTGTGAGATACCAATATTTGGATGCGGCTGAGGTGATGGTACAACCTGGACTGGTGAACCCAATGATGCAAGTCCAGAACTATTTGGCTTCTCAGTTAACAAACTTGAAAGGACTGGAGTAGAACCAGTTAGATTGCAAGAATTGCCCCCTATAGAATTAGACGTTTGGGTAGAAGATTGCGAATCATTGAAACCTGGGCTAGCCTCCTTAGATTCTGTGTTATCGTCAACTTTTTCCTCTCCCTTTGCCATTTCCAGTTCTCCTTCAATGCAAGGGTTAGAAGCAGGTCCATTATCTGCTACTGTATCTTTTATCTCAGTCTCAGGTGTACCTGCGCTAAAAGGAGCTTCATGATTACCATCATTAACACCATTTTCAGACTTTACAGAATGCTTTGAATCTTTAGGACTATGTTCATGAGATCCTCCACTTGATTTTGCAGTTTCTTCCTTCTCAGGGCAACAATCAGATTGTTTTCCTGCTTTGACTGCTTGGTCACATTTTATTTCTTCTCCAGTTTTATTCTGTTCATCCAATTTATCATCTATTGGATCATTCAGCTCCAATTCTTCATTGAACATATCCTTCTTGTCACCTAGATCAAGCTCAGGATCTGTATAAGCAATAAGGTCAAACTCCCCTGATTTTAAGAGGTCATCCAAATGTGGGTCATTTGTTTCTAGGTTGTCTAAATTATCCAAGTCAGGATCACCTTTCCCATCTACTGGATCCAAATTTAAGTTTTCTAAATCTTCATCATCTAAGTCTTTAACTTCTAGGTCTCTCACTCCATCAAGGTCCTTAACATCAAGATCTTTCACTGAAGGCTCATCAGAATCAAGTTTTTCTACCATACTGTCTCCTTGCGTAGATGCACTGGCAGACAAGGAGACTGTTGATGTAAAAGCTTCACTGGCAGGTGGATTGCTCAAAGAACGAGAAAGGGGCATGGCTGGATGATTTATATGCATTTGCTGTTGGTGCTGATTAAGTTGATCTAAATTACCACAATTTTCCATTTGATTATGTATGCCATGCTGTTGACTTGACACAGAATCCAGTGACTTTGGTCCCTGACTCGGAGAGAAAGCACCCTGCCCTGGTATAGGAACTCCACCAGGTCTTTGTTGCTGGCTAGCTGGATCTAAACCACGTGGAGGCACCACTGATGCAAAAGGAAGTCGTGGCCTGTTTTCTGGTATTCTGTGCCGTAGTTCTATGAATGGTTGTCCTGAAATATTGTGCTGGGGCATTTGCATACCCCTAGGAGGAAAATGTTGAGGGATAATTACACCATTGTTCACCTGCGGATTGTTTAAAGACCTGGTAAAGTCCACAGATAGTGATCGCCTTAGCTGCTGTGGAAGGCCAGGAACATTTGCCTGCATCTGGTGTTGCCCAAGAAAGTGTTCCTGATTTGCAAATGGTCTCTGTCCATTTCCTGCAAAAGAGTTCCTAGAAGAAAGAATAACATACCAAGCCAATTAGCTCAACATACAAGTTAGCAAATCAGCACGATAAGATATTATAACAGATTATATCTATTTATAACAGCTTGTAACAGGGCACGTTCCTAAGGTACAGTAGAACTTTGGGCTGCTCTCAAATCAGACTAAGAGATGACTTGTGGTGGTTTAACCACCTCAGGTGAAATTAGCAAGGTGAGACCTTCATGGTAACCTCAGCTGGTGTGGGAACTGAGCCTATGGTATTGGCGTTGCTCTGCACTATGAACCAGCCATCCAGCCAACTAAGCTAACTGACCCCCTAACGAAAGTACCATTATTGCAGAAATCAGACAAGATGCAGAAGGACAAGCACTTAGTAAAAGCATTTGCTCTGTCGTGTGACTATTTCCTAACCTCTAAGGTTTACAGCATGAAACAGGAAGTAAAATTTTATCAAAATATTTGCAGTTACAACTAATTTTTGCAATAGTTCAAATCAATTTTATTTTTAAAAATTCCAGTCACGAGATGCGGTTATCGCTGGCTAGGCCAGCATTTATTGCCCACCTCTAACGAAGCATTTTCAAAGCTCCATATTTACTTAGAACACTTTTAGTCATCAGGTGCCAGTTTCTTTTTGAATAATATAACACCTCAAACAAAAATAAAATGGTACTTGATGGAACCCTGTAACAGTAAAAGGTTTTGTACTGAAAAATAGTTACCTTGGACCTTGTGACCTCATGACCATTCTGGCAACATCCCCAGAAAATGGTGGTCTGTTAAATTGACCATCAGTCATTAAACGACTGCGAGGTTCATTTGCAAAAAGGCCTGGAAATCTTTGTCCAGTTTGAGATGCACGAGGGATTCTCACAATACCAGGATAGGGGGGAGGTGGTCTTCCAAATAGTTCACTTTGACGTTTTAAATCCTCTTGTGGCCAGTGCCTAAGTGGAGTTGCTGCAGATGTCATTGCTTGCTCTTGCAGGCCTTTTTCCTGACGGACTGCATTCTTCTGCTGTTGCTGTCGAAGTATCAGTTCCCGTAATCTCAGCCTCTATCAAATAAAACAAATTTACAATTACAAACGATTAATGTATTATCTTATTTTAGCCATTAAAGTAATGATGTATTGCTCGACATTGCACTTCTCCATTGGGATGGTCTTTCAATTTTATACAGAATGCTTATAAAGATGTAACAGTCGTTCTGTCGCTGACGAACAGGTAAGCCATCAGGTCTGGTTTTGTTTGAGATCAGCAACCAAATTACATTGTTCTAACTCAATACTACAAAACAACAGCTGTTGGAAATCTGAAATAGAATACAGAAGATGCTAGAACTATTTAGCAGGTCGCAGTACATCTGTGGAATGTTTCAGATTGACCATTTGTAGAAACAAAAGATTATCATCGACCTAAGAGACCACATCAATCTGACCAACAGCACTGGTCTAAATACTTGATACTATACTGATTCAACTAATAATGATGACCAAACTGCAGGAATTCTCCACCATTTGTTCTGGTTAAAGTGCAACCAATTGCACTGTTGAAACCATTTATTTCTATGCCTAATTATTAATTTCAGCATTTAATGGTAGTTTCCTCTGTTGTTCTAGCATCATAACGTGCTAATGTGAATTGTTTTGGCAACAGACATCCTGCAACAAACTTGTACAATTAAGAACTCTCGTAGTTCTGTTAAATCTTTTTTGCAAAAAGGCACTATTTGTAAACATGAATGTAAAATGCATATTATTTTTTTCTTTTGGAAGCTGTATATTGAGCACGTTGTGAGAGTAGAGTGGAACAATTGATTAAAAAGACATTTCGTAGCCTTGCAAAATTTTGTTTTCATATGATAATCTAGCTGGCTCCAAATATTGACCCTCTTCAGAGTTTAGATTTAAAATATTCTTTATTTCTCCTATTAATTTGTAGACTGTTCCAACTCTAGCAGGGACTTGTAGTTGCACATTTATTGATGCATATTCACTACCAATTAATCACAAATTATTAAAACTAGTTCAAAGTATGCAAATCGACTTACCTGCCGCTGCTTTTCTTCTGTGTCCATATGACCTGTGCTTACATTATTCTGTGCCTCAGATGTCAAAATAGATTGGCCTTGGTCAAGTGTTGGGGGTACATTATGAAACTGATGTACTTGTGAATTCAAGGGTGATCCTGTGGAGCTGCTAAAATTTGTGGAATCTGATGCAGGTCCTTGTTGGTCACTAATATCGTGATTAAGTCTCCCTGGCACAAACTTATCATTAGTTTGAGGTCTTGGGGTCCTTGGTGGCTGATCGTATGGGTCGTGTACTGTTTGTCCGTATGTGTCCGAAGATGGTCTCACTGCTGGTGCATGGGGTGAAAATGCATCATCATGTATTCCAGCTGGTCTGGAAGTTTGAGGTGTTCGACCACGCACATCAGCTGGTCGCACAAATGAATCTTTCGAATTTGGAACTCTGTTGTGTGGCGGTTGCAAAAATGGATCCTGATTTACCAACTGACTTGACCTTGTCAATGTTTGTCGGTCAGAAATTACTGGCCTTGCAGATTGGGCAAAGGGATCAGAGCCAACTGGTCTTGGGGTTAAAGGAGGGTGTGCATATGGATCTGAATACCTCTGATTAATTGGTGATTGTACAAAACGATTTGCAACTAAAGGCCTTGGAGTACCAGGGGGCTGGGAATACGGATCTGCTTGTTGTGAAGGGGCTCTTGGAGTTAGTGACTGCTGTGCATACTGATCAGCTGCAGGTCGAGGAGTACCTGGGGGCTGTGAATAAGGGTCAGCCGCAGGTCGAGGGGTTCCTGGGGGCTGTGAATAAGGGTCAGCCGCAGGTCGAGGGGTCTCTGGGGGCTGTGAATAAGAGTCAGCCGCAGGTCGAGGGGTTCCAGGAGGCTGTGAATAAGGGTCAGCTCCAGGTCGAGGGGTTCCTGGAGGTTGCGAATAGGGGTCAGCTGCAGGTCGAGGGGTTCCTGGAGGCTGTGAATAAGGATCCTGAGGAGACCGTCTTGATATTGACCCCTGTTGTACAAATGTGTCACCCTGGGTTTGCCGGGGAACTCTCTGACTGTGCGAAAACGGCTCATTCACAGTATGAGGTGTCTGTGGTTGCTGTGCATAAGATTCCATTGACTGGGACTGCGACTGTGCTGGGCTTTGTGAAAAATTATCCACAGGTCTTGAATTCAACACAGTTCTTTCATATGGATCAACAGATGTGCGTCTTGGAGTTAAAGGCATAGATGCATAAGGATCTTGAGGTGACTGAATTGGTGGCATTGGTGTCTTAAATAATTGTCCACTTCCATCTTCAACATTAGCTGGATTAGGTGCATGTTGTGATCTTGAATATAGATCAAGAGGCCCCATTCGATTATGTGGCACTTGCTGTCTAGGCAACATATCAGGTCTGTGTGCAGGTTTAGCAAAGGGATCATTTACATTTACAGGCATATTCCCTGATGGATCAGGATTCATAGGTGGTCTAGGCAATCCTAACGGCTTTGAAAAATGATCTGTTGATATGGTCATGGAAGGTCTTGGAGTATCGGGTGCCTTTGCATAAGGATCACTGCCAGTTGGTGATGGTGACCCAAAAGACTCATCTGCTAATGAAGGCCTATTTCTCTCGATCTGTTCAGTAGCTGGTGAAGGCCTGGTTGCACTTTGAGGAACAGCACAAGAATCTACAGAGGACAGTGAATTTCTTCTAACAACTGGTGGCGGTCTTGGTGTTCCAACCATTTTAGCATATGGATCCCAAGGAGATGATGGTCTTGACGCATTAGCAACTGGAGAAAACATCTGTGGTGATGGCGACTGTGAAGTCTGGGGCTGTGCAAATGGATCCTGCAGTGGTATCCTTGTTGGTGTTGGGGGAGGAGCCTGAGGTCTGAGAAAGACATCATCTGATGACGTTGAGACTGAAGTGCCAAGAGCCCGAGGCCTTGCAAACCCTTCTTTGGGCAAGTGTAGAGGAGACAAGTGTCCACTGTCCTGTTCACCTGCTTTTGGACTGTTAGAATCCTCCCCTGCAGAAGACTGCTGGCACCCAAATTGTTGTTGTTGCTGCTGCTCGTGTTTCACCTGTTCCAGTTTTTGTGTAGCTTCAATCTTGGCTTGCTGCTTACTCTTCTGCCGCATTTGCTGTTTTTTTTTGCGAAGAAAGAAAAAAAGATCATACATATGTCACCTGGATGACATACACTGTTAATCAAGAAGCTGAAGTGAAAAATTTAACAATATTTTTTTCAAAAAATTCTCTCAGTTGGTTGACAGAAAAATTCGTGAAGGATCCTTAGACAGAACCTTTTATACTGACAACCATTACCATCTAGATGGACAAGCATAGCAGATACACGGGAATACAACCATCTGCAAGTTCCCCTCCAAGCCACTCACCATCCTGATTCCGCCCAACTCCCTCCCCAACGGCACTGAGCATCTACCAACACCAAACAGACTCAGCAGTTCAAGAAGGCAGCTCACCACCATTTTCTCAAAGGCAACTAGAGATGGACAAAAAATGCTAGAACAGCAAACTATGCCTGCATCCAAAGAGCAAGTGAAATTTAAAAAAAAACTTACATTATCCCTCTCCGATGTGCTAATACCATTATTAATTAAAAGCTACTTAACCAACTTTCCACAGCTTCCTGTGCCCTTTAATATTCATCCTGCAACACGACTCAGTAAAGTCTGCAGAATTTACTTAGTTTATTTCTATTTGTGCTCTCAGTTCATTTGATTTGTTTCAAATGCTATGCACATTCAGATAGAGTTTTATTTTTATCCTTCCTGTATCCTCCTGTCTGACCCATTGATTGACTGTTAGATTTGTTTTCTCATTGTCTTCCTGACACCATCTCTGTTACCTTGTCTGTACTCTTTGATTTACAATATCTTCTCAAATTTGATCCTTTGTCCCCACTACTTAATTTAAAATCCTCTCTACTTCCGCAGTTATGTGGCTCACAAAGACACCAGCCTCAGCACAGCTCAGTGGTCACTGTCAAAATGAAACAACACCCTCATGGACTGCTGCCAGTGCACCACGAGCCCTTAAATCCTAAAGCCATGAACTTTTATTTTTTCTTTAAAAGGGAGCATTGTATCAAATGCTTTTCGTAAATCCAATTACACCACCTTCACAAGTTCCCCTCTATCCACTTTACTTGTTAGTTCCTTAAAAGACTCTAATAAATGAGTTAAATCCAACTTCCATCTCACAAAAGCATGCTGCCTCTTTTTGAATTTAAGTTCTGAAGAATTCTGGAGTTGTGAAGAAGGAACAGTGGACCCAAAACGTTAACCCTGCTTTCTCTCCATAGATGCTGCCTGCCCTGGTGAGTTTTTCCAGTAATTTCTGATTTTATGATTTTCTAAATATCCTGCTATAAACTCCTTAATTCCATTTTTCCTAATTCCTCTCATGGCCTGCACTGCTGTTTCCACATTCTAGACGCATCTTTCAATTGGCAACAGTGCAATAGGAAACAGACTCCCAGATTTATTACAGCATACAGGGCAGCCATTTAGCCTGCTGTGTCTGTGCACTCCCTACAAGATCAATTCATAGACACAATCAATTGCCTTTTCCCCATAGTCCTGCAATCTTTTTCATTCACATTGTTATCAAATTCTTTTTTGAAGGCATTAACTGAATGAGCTTCCACCATATTTTCAGAAAGTACATTCCAAATCTTAATCACTCATTGCTTAAAAATGATCTTTCCTTATTCCCTGTTCCTTCTTTTGTCAATCACTCCAGCCATATCCCGGTAAATTGTGATAATTAGCATGTCAAACCAGGCAAAGCTAGGCATCAAACTTCTACACACAGCGTTTTAAGAATTCGTCTATACTGGTGTGTGAAGACTGATTCCAATGGACTGGGTATGTGAGAACAATCTAAAATCCAACAGATTTTTAGATAAATCAGCATTGCATTGAAGATGCAATGCAGATGATGCCCTAGTCACCCAATGCATTTGGATCATGTCCAGCCATCTAGACTCGTCATGCCATTGGACCAAGATAGGTCAGGATGTGAGTGAGGCCGAGAATTGGATAATGAGGCCTCATTTGCAAATCATGATCATTTTCTTTCCATCTCCCATCTGTCACAAATCCTGTGGCAATGGGAAAGCAACATAGCATGGATGGATTCATTAGGAGCTGCATCCACAAACCTACAAATGTGACATCTCAGACCATAGGGTCCTTTTGACTGGAAAAAAGAAGAACTTGGCAGCATTCTGGACAAGAAAGCAGCCCCATCTGGGACCTCATTGCCTGCCGCTCTAGCTGAGGAGCTCCAACAGGTGCCCCAAATGTTTGATATTGAAAATGAAATATTTTCAGAAAGTTACAAGGGAACAGAAAAATTGATTCCTAACGACGTTTCACAAGATGCTGCACAGGAGGCTTGCTGACATAACTACACCATCTAAAATTATCTGCCAGAAAACAGTAGTATAACGATCTCTAACGTGGACCCAGCAAAAGAAGTTAAAGGGTCAGTCATAATTTTCTTGGATAAGTAGTACTGATCTGCGTATTTTGGCAACACTTGACCTGACGACATTATCAACAGGAAGGAAGTTAAGATATGGTTGCCATGTGACGAAGTGCAAAGAACAGTAAAGAGCAGAGGAGGTTCAAGAACCTGATGCAGGCACAAAGAGAATGCAGACAGAGATAGAAGAGAACACCAAGTTTTGTCAGAATAGTAAAGTTGGAGGGGCAATGAGATGCAGACCTTGTACACCATTGCTGAAAGTAAGCATGTAGATGCAGCAAGTGGTGATGGCAGAAAAATGGTATCAAGGTTTTTGTAGTAAAAGGACTCGAGTACAGTAGCAGGATGTCTTGCTGCAATTGTTCAGGGCTTTGGTGAGACTGCACTTGGATTAATGTGTGTGTAGTTTTGGTTTCATTATCTGAAAAAGGATGATGTTCTGGCCATGAAGGGAGTGCAACAAAGATTTACTAGATTGACTCCTGGGATGGGAGAACTGACATATGAAAAGGAACTCAATTGCTTGGGACTACATTCACTGTAGTTTAGAAAAACAAGTGGAGAGAGTTTTATAGAAACTTAAAAATTCAAACATAACTAGACAGGGTAACGCAGGAAGGAAGTTCCCAATGACCACAGAGTCCAGAACCAGGGGTCACAGTTTAAGGATATGGGTTAGGCCATTTAGGACCAGGATGAAGAGAAATCTCTTCACCCAGAGAGTGGAGAGCCTGTGGAATTCTCTGCCACAGAAGGCAGTTGAGACCAAGACATTGAATGGTTTCAAAAATGAGTTAGCTATTGTTCTTAAGGCTGAAAGGATAAAAGGAGAAAGTAGGAACAGAGTACGGAGTTGGATGATTAGCCACAATCATATTGAATGGCAGAGCAGGCTCTAAGGCCGAATGGCCTAATCCTGCTCCTATTTTTTTGTTTCTGGAAGAAGCATGGAACAGTCAGTTGTTCTGTTTGGCAGCATTCTTAGAATCAACATGCTAGCTGGTTAAAAATCTTTGAATAGCTTGGAAGATGTGTGATTCGCTCATGGATGACTAGGAGCTAGATGTTTTCCTAAAAGTGGTCAAAATCATGAACCGTGGCGTTATTGGCTGGTTAGTTGGAAAGGAAAGCTACACCATCAGGACTGTCATGACCTCAGAAAGAGAAGGTGAAGGCTTGTAACAATTGTACATGCAAAACCCAGAGCTAAAAACAATTGTTAGAAAAGACTCCTGGCCTATCCTGTTTGAATAAAATATTCTGGAACTGAGTAGCAACATAATGCCACATTTATGGGAAATGCAAATGCTTGCAATTAGGAAGATGTATATTTGTTGCATGGACTAGAGTGTAACTCATCTTTTTCTTGGGAGTGTCATTTGCCTATTAACTCATGCTTAACGTGTTGGCTGTGTGTTAAAGTAAAAGCTGTAAAAAGTGAAGCTTCTTGGTAATTTTTTTCATTTGTGATTCAATCAATAAACTGTGTTATTTTGGTTTATGGTTCAGTAACAGTACTAGTTCATAGATATTTATCATTTCATTTTGAGATATGGCAAGACAACTTTCACTGCTCAACTCTAGTTTCCATGAGAGTATTTTGAATCAAACACAGAGTAAAGATGGGCGATAAGTTCCCTTCTCTGAAACACCGTAAGCAATCAATTGAGTTTTTACTGCAGACAAATAGCTTTGGTTGTCCTAGTGCTGGCTCACACGATATATTAAGTTCGATTGCATAACTTGCATTGTTAGGACCGGCAATTCTGGACCACTTCAGTACTCATCTATTCCCGTAACCGGTAATAGATGAAATGGAAACAGTGAAAAGGAAATGGAAATATAGTGAAAAGGGTATAAAAACTAGCATTTCTGTTGTGTCAAATCTAGTACTTTAACACGTGTTTACGTGCATGTGGGCCTGTGTCTGCTTGTGCCTGTTTGCCCATCTACGTGTAGTCTGTCTGCGTATCTGCCTGCTTGCGTATGTACGAGCAAGAGTGATGGCACGACAGTGAGAGCGTGAAAGCGAGGGCAAAAGATCTAATCTTGAGTGCAGGGCTACAATATTAAACCCTGTAAGTAGCATAAAAAACACAGGGAGTGCAGTTAACAATTATGTCAACAAAGAATATTAAACAACATTGACAGGTTAATAATTTGTACAGGAGATTTGGAAGGTGAAGTTGGATTTATAAGACTGCATATTTTACATACACTAAAAAGCAAACTTTTAAACAGAGTAAAGAGTGGAGAGATTTAAAGGTTTGCCTTCTCAAGCTCTTACTTCCCATATAATCTGATGTAGAAATGATGAGATTTTTATGAGTACATATTTTCTTGTAAAATATTGCTCATTCATACTTCCTTCCTGATTGACATGTCTTGTTATGCTCTCCTACTCCCTCCCCAACAAAAGCATCAGATCAGTGTCTTTTCTTTTAACCAGTCTCAAAAAATTGCTTAGACAGGTAAAAGAAGATAGGACCTCATTTTCTTTAATAGAAGTTAGTATGTCTGCAGTAAACATTTTTGGATCCATTTTTAAGGTTACAAATTAAATGACTTGTTTGCTGTGATTAATGAAGAACATTCTGTGCCGTTGAACACTCTGGCTGCTACCAATGTTGCTTCCTTGCTAAGATGCACATTAACTTTGGCAAAAAATAATTCCTCAAAATGCAAGTCTGAATCTAGACGAAACCTAAAACAATGGTGGCAAAATCAATTATGATAATTTGAACATGTACTCTTCAAATTAACTAGTGTCATCACAGACAACCTAAATTTGGTTAATGGTATTTTTTGAACTAAGATAATGCTGCCCACACGTGCACTGTAACCACACATTTCTAGGAAAGTTGTGATGCATGAGCGTAACAAATTACCAATTGTAATTTAAATAAATCTTCTTACCTGTCTTAGCTTCCATTCTTGCTCGTGTTCTGATTCTTTTTGCTTCATTTGATCTTTGAATGGCAAGTCTAAGTCAGGTCGAGAGACTGAATCAATGCATTCTTGCTGCTGCCTTCTCAAAGACTCGCTGGTCATTTGAACTTTGTTTATACGCAGTGCTGCTCGATTATCTCTTGCCTTTTGCTGCAATTTTATTGCAATTATGTTTCAGTTAGCAAGTTAAAAATTGTACTATTCGGTCTAGCGACTTATTTTATTATCAACTTTTAAAGATATTGTACAAGGCCTAAAGAATAGAACTCCCTCTGTTCTATCTATGCTGTGAGGTAAAGGCATTTCTCCACAACACATGGCAGAGAATACCAATTTGTGTGACTGGAAAAAGCAGGGTCGCTTTCAACATTTTTGAAAATTATGTTCTATTTCTCTGAAGTATACTTAAGATTAGAGGATTGGTTATATATAAAACGAGGGTCCAAGTAACCCAAACAAGGCTGGCCCCAAAAAATGCACTTAATCTAAATTAGCTAACCCAGTGGAAAAATTTTATTGACGTTTACTGCCATGAAATACCTTGAGTATTTTTTAAACATTATAAATATTGAATGAATTGAAGTTTAAAAGTTGTTCATTCTATTCAAATTCCATTCCAGAAACCATTTGCTCTCAAACTTTCTATTTTTAAAAACAGTCTCAATATCTACAATATTCAGTATTAGCTCATGACCATTCTTAAAAGAATGTATTTCCATTGCCCTTTCTTTGGGAGTACTTCAAATGCACATTATCAAGTCAGAGATTACTTTTCAGAAAATATGAAAGTTTCCATTTGTAAAAGGTGAATATTTTTCAGAAAACATTGTTTTCTTCAAAGTCATTGATGGGATGTGGGCATTGCTGGTTAGGTTGGCATTATTGCCCATCCCTAATCGCCCAGAGGGCAGTTAGTGTCAACCACACTGCTGTGGGTCTGAAGTCACATACAGGCCAGACAAGGTAAGGATGGCAATTTCTTTCCTGAAAGGACATTAATGAACCAGATGGGATTTTCTGACAATTGACGGTGGTTTCATGGTCATCATTAGGACTCTTAATTCCTCTTAATTGGATTCAATTTCCACAATCTGCCATGGCAGGATTTAAACCTGTCCCAGAACATTACCTGGGTTTCTGGATTAATAGTCTGGTGATAATACCACTAGGCCAGCACCTCCCCAAATTTGGGGTTAAAATAATTCTTGTATGCACAGCCTACAAACTGTAAAACAGCAATGCAACTTTGCAGATGTGTGGTTGGTTCTAGTAAACAATACCACGTCTCCTCAGGGAATCCTGTTGAAGGATCAGTGCTGAGCACCTGCTTTGATCCTGCCAGTCTGTTCTGAACCTTATTTCTAAAATGGAATCAATATATTTCATTAAGGCAAGGTATCCCTGGCTTCCAATCTATTCTTTATGCGAAAGATATGGAGGTGCTGGTGTTGGACTGGGGTGGACAAGGTCAAAAGTCACACGACACCAAGTTATAGTCCAATAGGTTTATTTGAAGGCACAAGCTTTTTGTGGCTCACTCCTTCTTCAGGTGTCTTGACTTTATGTAAAAGATTTTAGCTTCAATGACAGGGAGTGAATGGATGTTGTCTGGGGCTAGTGACTGTAACAATGGTATTTTCAATTTATTTGTTTGATTTCCTAATACTTATCTTGTCATTGTTGTAATGTCTCAAATTGCCCTTTGTTAATAATGTCAGTCCTATTGTATGTAGCACTGAGATATGCAGGAATAACACGGAAACAGAGTGATGGCCTAGTTTTATTTTTGAAAAATCAGTAATCAAATATGTAGAGATCTCAGATATATGTAAGAATAACACTGCTGTAACTGTAGGGGATTTTAATTTTCCAAACATTAACTGGGACTGCCACAGGGTGTTAAAGACTAAGATGGTGAAGAATCTGTTAAATGTGGACAAGAAAATTTTCTTTATCAATATGTAAATATACGTGCTAGAGAAGAAGCAAACTTCACCTTCTCTTGGGAAATAAGGCAGGGCAAGTGACGGAAATGTTAGGACGGGAACACTTTGGGACCAATGATCATCATTCTATTAGGTTTAAAATGGTTATGGAAAAGGATAGGCCTTCCATAAAAGTTAAATTCTCAACTGGAGTAAGGCAAATTTTAATGGTATGAACAACAACTTCAAAAGTTGATTGGAGTAGACTGTTTGCAGGTAAAGGGCCAACTTGCAAGTGGGAGGCTTTCAAAAATGTGATAACTAGGAGGTCAGAGGCATTATGTTCCCGTAAGAGTGAAGGGTAAGGCTGGTAAAAGTAGGGGACACTGGATGAATAAATTGAAGTTCTAGTCAAGAATAAGAAAGAATCATATCTTAGATTCGGACAACTGGAATTAAATGAAACTCTTGAACAGTATAAAGAGTGTAGGGGTATTGTTAAGAGGGAAATCAGGAAGGCGAAGAGGGGCAATGAGATAACCTTATCTGCCAAGGCTAAGGATAATCCAAAGAGATTCTGAAAGTATATTAAGAGCAAAAGAGCAACTGGAGAGAGAATAAGTCCCTTAAAGATCAATGAGGTCGTCTATGTGTTGAACCTCAAAAGATTGAAAGATACTAAATGAATACTTCCCGTCAGTTTTTACTGTGGAGAAAGAAAAGGAGGCTAGAGAACTCAGGGAAATAAATACTAATGTTTTGAAAACAGCTTGAAAACAGGGGCGGCAGGTAGACTCAGTGGTGAGCACTGCTGCTTCACAGCGCCAGGGACCCGAGTTCGATAGTTGCCTGAGGGCAACTGTCAGTAAGGAGTTTGCACAATTTCCCCGTGTCTGTGTGGATTTCCTCCGGGTGCTCTGGTTTCCTCCCACAGTCCAAAGATGTGCGGGTTAGGTGGATTGGCCTTGTTAAACTGCCCATACTATCCAGGAAAGTGTAGCGTTACAGGGATAGGGCATGGAGTGGGGCAGGGTGCGATGCTGTTCGGTGGGTTGATGCAAACTCGATGGGCTAAATGGCCTGCTTCCACACTGTGGAAATTCTATGAGGTCACATTACTGAAGAGGAAGTGTTGGAAGTCTTAGAAAACAGAAAAGGTGGTTAAATCTCCAAGACCATTCCAAGTGTATCTCAGGACATTGTGGGAAGTTAGGGAAGAAATATTTGTATCATCTAAAACCACAGCGGAGGTAGAGGAGGACTGGAGGGTGACAAATGTTGTACCTTTACTTAAGAAAGATGTAAGGAGAAGCCTGGGGACTACAGACCTGTGAACCTGACATTGGTGGAGGTGATTCTGAGAGATAGGACTTATATTCATTTGGAGAGACAAGGACTGATTAGGGATAGTCAGGATGGTTTTGTACGAGGGAAATCGTGTCTCACAAACTTAAGGAAGTAACCAAAAAGATTTCAGAGGGCAGAGGGGTAGATGTTGTTTACATGGACTTTAGTAAAGCCTTTGACAGGGCTCCACATGGTAGGTTAATTAGTAAAGTTAGATCACATGGGAATCAGTATGAGCTGGTCAACCAGCTACAAAATTAGCTCAATGGTAGGAGACAGAGGGTGGTGGTGGAAGGTTGTTTTACAGACTGGAGGCCTGTGACCAGCAGTGTTCCGCTGTTGTTTGTCATTTACATTAATGATCTGGATGAGAATATAGGAGGCATGGTTAGCAAGTTTGCGGATGACACCAAAACTGGTGGTATAGTAGCCAGTGAAAAAGGTTATCAAATATTACAAAGAGATCTTGATCAACTGGGCTGAGGAATGGCAGATGGAGTTTAATGTGGATAAATGTGAGGTAATGCATTTTGGTAAAGCAAACAAGGACATGACATACAGTTAATGGCAAGGCCCTGGGTAGTGTTGTAAGTCAGAGAACCTAGGAGTTCAGGTACATAATTCTTCGAATTTGCATCACAGGTAAACGGGGTAGTTAAGGCGGCATTTAGCATGCTTGCCTTCATTCTCAGACCTTTGGGTACAGGAGTTGTGATGTCATGTTGAGGTTGTACAGGACACTGTTGAGGCTTCTTCTGGAGTACTGCGAGCAGTTCTGATCACCCTGTTATAGGAAGGATATTATTAAACTGGAGGGGGCTCAGCAAAAAGATTAACCATTCCATTAACTGGAATGGAGGGACTGAGTAATAAAAATATGCTGGATAGGCTGGGATATTTTTCACTGCAGCGTAGGGGGTTATGGGGTGATCTTATAAAGATTTATAAAATCATGATGAGCATAAATAAAGTGAATAGCAAAGGTCTTTTCCCTAGGATGGGGCAGTTCAAAACTAGGGTCATATTTTTAAAGGCGACAGGAGAAAGATTTAAAAAGGGCATGAGGGGAACTTTTTTATTTTTACACAGAGTGTTTAGTGATTGGAATGAACTGCCAGAGAAAGTGGTGGATGCAGGTACAGTTACAACATTTAGAAGACATTTGGACAAGTTCATGAACAGGAAAGGTTTGGAGTGATATGGGCCAAACGCAGGCAAATGGGACTAGTTTAGTTTGGGAACATGGTCAGGGTGGACTAGTTGGACTGAAGGGTCTGTTTCCAAGCTGTATGACTCTATAACCAAAAAGCAAAATTTTAAGGAAATATGACATAAAATCCGAGATTGCTGGAAAAGGTAGGTCATCAGCATCTATGAAGAGAGAAACATATATCATGCTTCAGTGCTTTCTGCTTCTGATGTGTCAGAACAATGGTTTGCTATAAGCTCATCCCTGTGGGAGCTGATAAAGTGAATAATTTCCTTTATAGGCTATAGCTGGACAAAATTCCTCTCCACCTATCATGCATGTGTCACTGTTAAATAAGTTAATCGGCTTTAATGAAAGAATTGCTGAAGAAGCCAAGCAGACGTGGAAGCATCTGTGAAGAGGCAAGCAGATTTAACATTTCAAATCTAGCAGGACTCTTCTTCTCTTGCCCTTTGGCTACCTGGCTGCTGTGAACTGAGTTTCTCCAGTGCTTTTTGTTTTTTTATTTCAGATTTCCAGCATCTGCAGTATTTTTATCTCATTTAAAAGTCTGAGTTTTCATTCCTTATACAATTCAAACATCCAGCAGAGAAAAAAATCATGCAGAGAAAACAAAGCTTACCACATAAGGGGCCCTCTCTTGGGAGCTTGCCTTCCTCCACAGTTTAGCTATTTGTTTCACTCTGGTAGCCCAGTCTAAATGATAAAGAGATACAGTGTCTGATTTGTGGACTGAAAATACTTTGCAATTTCCTGAAATACAAGCTTGTATGCAGTAAGAAATATAACAAAAAAAAGCCATACAACCTACCATCAACTTCATTTGAGTGTTCACCTTACTAAAACTCTGCAATGACATAAAACTGGTTGCAAAATCTCGTGTTTACATCTCATTTACACTGGCAATTAGTGAGGCAACACTTGATAATGTCTCACTTCAGATCAACATTGGAAGTGGAATCCTGAATTCCAAACTGCTCAGTCTTAAATAAAATTGTGGTCACCATGACTAATTTGGAAGGAGTGGGATGCAAATGCAGTTAAGTAGGTTAAGTGCTGAATTACCTGTTTTATATATACACTAGCATAAAGGAAAAACACTTGCACAAGTATGATTTTGGAGCTGCCTCAAGAAACAGCGGTACAAACAAGGCATTGCACCTTTTGGCTTTATGGAATCCGATTAAGATTGGAGAGAAGAGCACAAAAACAAAAACAAAGTGCTGAAGAAATTCAACAGGTCTGGCAGCACCTGTGGAGAAAAAATTAGAATTAACATTAGAGTCCAGTGACATTAGAATTGAAGCATTAACTCTACTTTTCTCTCCATAGATTCAGCCAGACATGTTGAGTTTCTGCAGCAGTGTCTGTTTTTGTTTCAGGTCTCCAGCATCTGCAATTCTCTGCTTTGTAAAAGAGCAGGTTTGGACTGAACAATATAATCCCAGACAACTGAAACAGGCCTTTAAAAATATGAGAAGTTGTTATGGCAAATACTGCGATTGCTAACAGCTCTTTAGCAAATGGAAACTAAAAATCTGAAAAAAGTCTAAAAACTAAAGACAATGTTAAAAAAAGTTGAATCCTCCTCAGCTCACAACAGCTCATTCAACACAAGTGTATGACTGAGCATATTATGTTTCTGAACTGTGTGTGCAATATCATATCAGGCAGTTAAACGATCTACTCAGGAAGTACTGTCTGTTATATAGAACTGTACAGCACAAGAACAGGCCCTTCAGCCCACAATATTCTGCTGAACATGACACCAAATTAAACTAATCCCTTCTGCCTGCCCTTGGTCCACATCCCTCCATTCCTTGCATATTCATGCGCTTTAAAAAAAAAATCCCTTAAACGCCCCAGACAGTCAGAATCTACATATCTCACAATTTTATAGATTTCTATCACACCTCCCCTCAGCCTCCACCACTCTAGAGAAAACAACCCAAGTTTTTCTAGCTGTTCCTTATAGCTTATATCCTCTAATCAAGGAGGATCCAGGTAAACCGCGTCTGCACCCCCTGCAAAGCCTCCAGATCCTTCCTACAAAGGCGCGACTATACATTCATCTGAATGGACCAGTTTAGCAACTATTGATATGACAGTTGAATCACCTTCAAATGTCAAATCAAAGCGAAAGACTAGCTTTATTCAGCTGATGCTTCAGTAGACTTATGAAACTCATCACTAACATTCAGATTACAGTAGTTCAGAATTGTTTGTATTGGCATATGGAAAGGTCTGAACAGGGATATGCATATTTGTCAGAAGTTTGGAAGGAAACTATCTACTTCATGTAATCCTTCTTGATATACAGATTGTTGTCATCTGTGGCAAGGAACAAGTGGCTATAACTGTAAATATATGATCTCATTGTACTTGCAACTTTCCCTAAATTGTACAAGATCAATTAAAATTAAGACTTCAAAATAGTGGTCAAGACATTTTTGGACAAATATGCAACAGATCTTATTTTTTGCTTCATAGAGTAAAAACTTTCTTCAGCCTTTAATGAACAGCATTTTTCACAAGACAGGCAAATGGTGTGACACTAGAGTTATGCTGTTACTACTTTTTAAAAGAATCATTTTCATTTCAGTGTAGATACTTGTAATTCATTTTACAGAATTAATACTGCCAAATTTCAACAGAAAAATCTGTGCAGTAATCTGGTGCAGTGCAAACATTGGCCTAACAGTTTTCACACCAACTGGAGTTGCTGCAAAGGCATCAGCATACACTGTGTTGTTAAACATGTCTTGATATTACTGAACGACATTAATGATTATTCCTTCCAGTATCTGCCTTAAATAAGTACATCCAAATGTTTAGAAAATCAGTCTGTGACTTAAGTGGCATTGCATGCATGTCTTAAATTCAGTGTGGTAATCTCTTACAAGATTGTTTCAGGTAGCAATACTTTGTAACATTACAAAATGAAATTTCCATGACAATATCAAGTGCAAGTCCTTGAACTTGGAGGCAATACTATGATGTAATCAAGATACACACCTGTTTTGGTAAAATATTTGAAAAGCAAATCAATACATCAATATTAAATGATTTCATACTATGTGCAGTTAGGATAAATTTTAATTTTTAAAGTAGCATTAAATCTTTCATTCGAGAACATACTGATGCTTCCAGAAATATGATCTCACTATATAGGATTACCTGGAAAATCTTCTTTCAAGTTGGGGAAGTTTGTATTTGTATATAAAACAGGGGCGACAGTTGCCATCTCACCCAGAGATTCTTCCTTTTCCCATTTCAGAGTACTCCGTTGTGTGTAGTTCAGTGTGTCTCCTTCCGCCTCCACAGCAGGAGCAGAGGGAACCCATGGGTTAGGAGGCTCAGTCACAACTTGACTAAACATATGATTCTTGTCTCTGTTAAATTGATCCAGTTCAAACATGTAGTTAAAAGTACTGCCAGAATCATCAATTAGTTGTTGGAATGCTAGGTACATGTATTTAAATAATAGAAAAAAAATCTAGAACACATCATATACAAGTTATTTCCTACTTCTATGAAAATTACATCTTTTTCACCTAAAGCTTCAAGTTGGCATCAAAGCACAGCATGAGGTAGTGTATCACTGCTGACCAAAGACAGCCTGATTGCACTGTCCAGCTCTTGGTCTCATGTACATTTACATTACATCTTACACTCAATGGCATTCTATAGTTACAAGTGGTGTGCACCAGTGAAGTTGATCAATTCTGCTGTAAATTCGCCTACCTTGCAATTAAAAGGTACTGACATTGGGAACACAACGTGCAAATCAGAATCTGATTAATCCTGGCTACAGTGTGCATTGCACCGGATAGCTGCAATTTTTAAAAACTGGAATGTTTGCAAACGACCAGAGTCCAAATTGTGAAACAGCTGTCATTCAGATGGTAACACTGTGATGTTATACCGTGTTTTCTTTCTTTATTCTTTCAAGGGATATGGGCATCACTGGAAAGGCTACCATTTGTTGCTTAACCCTACTTCCTTTATTCATTCGCAGGATGATAGCGTCGCTGGCTAGGCAGCATTTATTGCCCATCCCTAATTGCCCAGAGGGCAGTTAAGAGTCAACCACATTGCTATAGGTCTAGAGCACATGTAGGCCAGATCAGGTAAGGATGGCAGTTTTCTTCCCTAAAGGACATTAGCGAACAAGATGGGTTTTTCTGACAATCCGCAATGGATTCATGATCACCATTAGATTCTTAATTCCAGATATTTATTGAATTCAAATTCCACCATCTGCCATAGTAGGATTCGCACCAGGTCCCCAGAACGTTATCTGGATCTCTGGATTAACAGCCCAGCAATAATACCACCAGGCCATTGCCTCCTCACTTGCCCAAAAGGAGGCAATGGTGAGCCAACTTCTGTGGTCCATCTAGTTCAGATTACACCCACAGCGCTGCTGGGAAGGGAGTTGCAGGATATTGACACAGTGACAGTGAAAGACATAGATCCAAGTCAGAACACACATGGTTTGTAGGGAATATTGCATCTGCTGCCCTCGCCTTTCTACACGGTCAAAGCTGTGAACTTGGAAGGTACTGTCGAAGGAGCTTTTGAGAGTTCCTGCAGGGCATCTTCTACTGCTGCCATTGTGCATTGGTGGTGGAGGGAGTGATTGCTTAAGTTAGTCGATTTGTTGGTGGTGGTGGGGGGCTAAGGGCGAATCACTTATCCTGATTTTGGCACATATCATATTTTTGCAGTATGGAGAAATAGCCATTTTATAAGCTAGGTTTCTACAAAAGGAAGGAAGCAATCATTTTCAATGAAATCCATTTCTTACAATATTTAAAAAATGCCTATTGGGTGAACTTGTTTTTCCTTTTGCCATGTTAAAATATGTTTGCGATAATGGTAATGAGCAGACCATAACATTGCATTCTCACCTGTTATCAGGGAATGGTGACTGAGGAATTGAAGAATAAGAACTTGTGAGACATCGTCCACCTCCAGGTGCTAAAGATGTTTGTTGCTGTGGATGTGGCCCAATCACACCATTCATTGCTGGCATCCTGGCAAATCCACTATCTCCTTCATGACAGGAATAGGTGAAAGAAAATTTATTAACTGTTAAGCGATCATTAAAGGTATTTCCACTGTGAATTGACCTCAAAATCCCAAAGCAATTTACAACAGATTTTCTGTTGACAGTGAACTTATTGTAGGGAAAAACAAAGGGAAAAAAACTGATGATTATGTAAAATCTTTTAAGAGTAGTATATTCCCAAAATGTATTATGGTCAATGAACTACTTAGCAAAATGCACTCACTATACTTTAGCAGGTTTGGTAGCCAAACAAGCTGTGCAAAACAAGGCCCTGCAAATATCAATGAGATGGATGACTAATTTATGCATTTTAGTGGTGAAAGAAATGCAGAGAATTTACTTGGGAAGTGGGATAATTGCAACATCTCAAGAAGCTGCTTGATTGCCACATTCTCAAGTCCAATAAATGTTTGCTTTGCCAGCTAGCTTGATGTCTGTCATGTGAAACATGTCTGAGTTGATCGTTAGAGAGATTATAGGTGATAAGTTGGAAAAAATTTCAAGTAACTGGAAACAGTCAACATGGTTTTAACAAAGGGATATCATATTTAATCAATTTATTGTAATTCTTTGAAAAAATAACTTATGCTGTGGATAGAGGGGAATTTTTAAATGTTGTTGGTAAGATGCCACATCAAAGATTACTGCAGAAAATAAATGCTTATAGCATAGGGGTCAACATATCAGCAAGGACACAAGCTAGGCTGCTGGTAAAAATTAGGAAGTATGCATAAATGGGCCCTTGTGGAGGCCCAAAAGGTTCTGTTTAGGAGTCTCAAGTTGTTAAATTTACATTAATGACTTAGAAGAGGGGAATCAAGGCATGGCAGCTAATTTTGCAGGTGACATGAAGATAGTTACAAACGTATATTGTGAAGACAGCATAAGTAAATTGCGAAAATAGATATATTAGTTGAGTGAGCAGGCACAAATCTAGTGGATGGAGTATAATGTAGGAAATTGAGAATGAAAAAGCATAGTATCACTTAAATTGAGAATGACTACAGAATTCCAACTTGCACAAGGATGCTATTTTTTATTACAAGATGAATTAAACATAAAAATAAGGGCATTATGCTTCAAGTTATATGGGGATTTGATAAGATGAAATCTCAAATACTGTGTGCAGTTTTGATCTCCTTAAGTTATGGAAAGATGTAAATGCAATGAAGATGTTTCAGAGGAGCTTTATTAGATTGTTAACTGGATTGAGTGGGTTATCTTATGAGGATAGTTGGGGCAGGCTGGGCTTAATTGCACTGGAGTTTAAAAGAGTGAGGATTGTCTTGATTAAAGATCTTGAATGGTCCTGAAGAGGTAGACGTGGAAAATACGTTTCCTCTTGCCAGTCAGTCAGTCAGTCAGTCTCGAACTAGGCACCACCCTTTTAGGTGAGGAGAAACTTGTGTGTCAACTTTGGTACTTTCTGCGTGGGAAGCCAATGGAGGCGGGATCATTTATTATTATGAAAGGTGGATAAATTATTGTTAGGCAGAGGTATTGAGTGTTATTGAGAGTAGATGGGAATGTGGAATTCAAAACACAAACAGATCAGTCATAACGTTATTGAATGGTGAAGTCGAGTCAAGTGGTTTACTTCTGCTCCTATTTAATTTGCTCAATACCTCATCTCATGAGTAATGAAACAAAAGGAAATATAAGGCACTAAGTTATTTGCATGCCCATCAAGACAGAAAATTATGGTCAAGTAAATACTATAATACTGCTTTTATATTTTCAACCTCAGCGGAATATATGAAATCTACTTAAAAATGCCGATTCATCAGTGGCATTGGCAATCTTTACAAACTCCATGTTTCCAAGCACGTCTTGCGTTGTACCCATGCAGTGATTTGCCATTTAAAATCTCATTCCCCTTGAATGAGGTGAGATTGGCCCTGACAGAGTTCAGCTTTTGCTCAGACTGTGATGATATGCGGCAAGTTTCAGATCACCACAACAGCTTGCTGTTCTTAGAGACATTTTAGTATCAGCACATCCAGTTAAGATGATCTATTGAAAATAATGTATGCTAAATTCAGCAGTTGCTTAACTTACACTGAGAGTCAATCTCCAAATTGAATCAATGCCTGTATAAATTAGATACCAAATTATAAGAAGAACAAGAGAGTGACATTTCATTAGCTTCACTTCTTTTGGGAATGTGAGACTAAATTCTACGGGATATGTATACTTAAAATAACTGATGGCTCACAAATTAAACTGGAGTTTGTCATTTAATCTAAACTTTAAATATTACAGTAAACTGGACAACTGTAATTTTAATTGCTTCTTTGAAATTACAGGTTGAGCCATTAATGTGGGGCCCAACTGCAGTTTGATGATGAGTGCGGGGTAAAATGGCATGCAACTAAAATCATGTAATAAGCATTTCAGATTTTATAATATTTAAATATCACTGCCATTATCAATACGCCACTTTTATCAAAAGAAAAAAATGACAATAGACTTAAGTATAATGGAATTGGAATGAAACAAGAGGTTAGTACAATTTTGCCAATATCCAGAAACATGTTTACTTAAACCGCAGTGGGTGACAATATGAAAAATAACCACAACTGTTAACAGCTCAAGAACAATGAAACCTGGCAGGATTATTTTACGTAGTTAGACTATACCATGTTCAGGCGGAGGCAAAGGAGGCAAAGGTGGTGGAGGTGGTGGCGGCGGCGGCGCCTGGTTCGCTGAAGGACTTAACACAGCTGTGAACAGATCTTCCACTTCCTTTCCCTCCAGCTCTTGATTTGGGGGGGAAAAAAAAGGTGAAAATGTTAGTAAGAATTAAACTCTGGTGATATGTGGATTATTCATTAAATTGCATTAATATTTGAAAATGAATACCTGGAATTTTGTACAGCTTACTTAGAATTGTACCTGTACAATAAAATAACATTTTCTGTCATTTACCAGAAAACCATTCCACAATGTGACACAAAATAAATGTCTTACAAAGTATGGAAGATGCATCTTACCATCTGAAACGATTTTCTCAAGATCAGGGCTAAGTATTCGGTCTAGTTGTTCCTCGGTCAAAGGTCGCGAACTTTGGCCTCCACATGACTGGGGAACTGCAGATGGATCCTCTGTAATGGGGCCAATATCCAGTCCAGCTAAACAAAAAGTTGGTTGTGTTATTTTGATATCAATCAATAAACGCACAGAGAATCTGCATTTGAAGAAGGTGACAGTGGTCATTCATCATATCTTCTAAACTTAGAGTTGTTAAAATTTATCACCAATAACTCATTCTGAATATTCTAAACTGTAAAGTGCAGATTTTTACTTGGCTAGAAGTGGCAGATCAACCACGACAACTAAAATATAAAAAGATTAGGAAGAGATAGTCAAGCAACAGGTCTGTGTTGTAATGTTCAATGACTCATTGCATTGTTGTTACTTTTCTTCACAAGTCGTCAAGTCTAATCACACTTTCACGCCCTTTAACTTGTTTTCAAATGACTATTTAGGGACTGTTTTAAGAATGGCTGATGATCGTGTATATCAATTAAACAACTTTCTAAGTTATTCTCTAAGGAATTTATCAAATTTGGCCAAGCACAAATCCCTTTCAGAAATCTTGCTGACTATCTTTTGAATGTTCAGTAATTTTGTTCCATTTACCGACTCAAGACATTTTATTAACAAGTTTTATTGTCAAAACTGATTACAGCAATATTCTGTGCACTTCTAAACAATCTTTCAATCTAGCAAAATGTTTCATGTCCTACATAAAAGTACAGTTGCCAAAACAAAACACAAGAGTCAATAGAGGAGTTGTTTGGATGGGTAACTTAAAGGTCTGAGTATCAGTGTACACGCACTTCTTGGGAAAAAAAGTCAAGCTACTTTCCTTTATTTTCTCACTTATATTTTAACGTTACCTTTGCCCTACTTACATCTTTGAACTCTTCTGTCTAATTACCTACACAACTGGCTCCTGCTACACTGGTATTTATTCCTTGAATTTCCTTTATAGATGGCAGTTATTCAGGATCCTGCCCTTCACACATAGGAACACGAGTAGGCCATTCAGGCCCTCGAGCCTGGTCCACCGTTTAATGAGATCACTGGTAATATCTATGGCCTCACTCCATATACCTGCCTTTGACCCATCTCTCTTAATATCTTTGCTTAACAAAATTTATCTACTGCAGATTTAAAATTAACTGGTCCTGCACCCACTGTCATTTGTGGAAGAATGTTCAAAATACCTACCATCTTTTGTGTGTGTAAATGCTTCCTAACATCTCTCCTGAATGGTCTGACCCTAATCCTCAGACTATAGCCCATTGTTTCAGAACCCACATTCCAGGGGAAATAGTTTATCTTTATCGACCCTTCCCTTTAGTGTTAATTTTTTGAAGACTTCGATCAGGTCATCCCTCAACCTTCTAAATTCTAGAGAAAACCTCCCCTAGATGGCTTTTATTTCATTACCTGTCCTATTACCATTCCTTTTGACTGTTAAGCATTTCCAACTTTTTTTTTCAGATTTCCAGTATCTGCAATATTCTGCCTTTGTATTTAAATTTAAGACACTAGCATTGCTCCTCCAGGAATGTCCACTTTGAAACAGTTCTACTGCTCTGTCTGATGGGATTTTCTGTTATCTCCTCTACATTGTTATCCTTTATTGCCTTCAATTTCTCTTCCTGCATTTGATTACATATATGCCAAAATTTGCTTTCACAGTTGCATCTGTTTCCTTAGCAACAGCTGCTAGCTCCAATTTATTCCATTAGCATTCCAACTGAAATTGCACTGCATTTCAGTTTCAAAATTACAAATGTCCTAGACATTCAGTACACCATTGCTTGCAAATCATGTCTTCGCTACATTTGGGAGATCCACATTCAACATAATCGTAGACATACTATGGACCCTTCCCTCTTTAGTAACACTGATGCACTGTATCTTGAAGCAGTCCCTAGTCCTTCCACTTCATCCACTGCCTCATTCAGCACTTTTAACAAAAATGTAATCTTCCTTTCAGATATGAAGGATTACATGTTTTAACAACTAATACAGCTCATTATTGTTCTTGTTCACTTCCCCCAACTCAATTCCTTCTTCCAATTTCAACTCTTGCCATAAATTGCTCATGCCTCCTCTCTTTGACCCCGAATGATCTATCCTGAGCAAACACCTCAGCTTCATTCCCCCCATTTCCCCCACCTCAATGAACCGTGCTTGTCACTATGCTGAGCTCTATGCCCTGCCATTCACATCTCCTCCAGACACATCTTTCATTCCTTTGCTTGTTCCATTATCACCTCCATTGATCTTGTATCATGAAATATTTTGTCACTTACTCTATCCTTCCTTCCATCTTGTCACAGATGTTCCTTCATTGCCCAGCCTTTTCTCTTTTATCTGGTCAAAATCGATTACATTTCTAACTTTTCCCAATTCTGACAAAAGGTCACATCATGTTTACTCTATGATTTTATGAGTTTCTGCCATGACCTCAGTATTTATAGCATCTTCTGTATTCGCAGAACCATAGAAATGTTACAGCCCAGAGGCCATTTAACCCATCATGCCCGAACTGGCTCTTCAAACGAGCATCATTACCTAGTGCTAATCTTCCTCTTCCCCACACCCTTGCATACTCTTTCAATCCAGTCATTCAATGACCTCTTGAATGCGTCAATTGAACCTGCTTCCACATTTTCAGTCACTGCATTCCATATTCTAACTATTCACTGTGTGAAAATCTTTTTTCCTTGCATCACTCGTTTCTTTTTGTACATCATTTGAGTTCAATGCCCTCTCATTCTTGTTCTTACGAGTGGGACCAGCTTTTCCCTGTCTATTCTATCCAGCCCTCTCATGATTTTGAAAATCTCGATCAAATCTCCTCTCAGCTATTTTGCTTTCATATTTCAACTATCGGCAATATTAGCTTTTGTTCAAAGCATTCATTACAGCTTTAGTTAACTGATTTGTCAGACTACTGGGCCCCACAATGTTCAATATGATCGACATTGGCATGAATTGATAAATGCAAGGTTGTTTCTTAAGAAAAAAACTCAGGAGGTAAAGACGCCACAAAATTTAGGGAAGGAATTACATAACACAGGTTGTACGGGGCTGAAGATATGGCTTACAACGAAGAAGCTAAGAAACTGGAGTAGGTAAGAGACCAGAATAGTCCATCGAAGGCCATTGGGCAGGAAAAGGCAAGAGACAGGGAATTATATAGACAACATTTTTGGATTACATTATTTTATGAAGTATGATAGGTTGTGTGGGTTGGAGTAGGATGTTATAAACAGATACGGACAGACCAAGTAAGTGGACAAAAGTACGGCAGGTACAGTTCAATCTGAAGAAATGAGAGGTAGCAATCTGCCTACACTTTAAGGTCAGGTTGTCAGAAGTTTTGACACGCCACAGTGGAACCATTGATTATTTGTTTTTATCTTAATTGACTTACATGTTATTACTTGCATGTTGTTGATGCATTAAATTGTTTTTTCAAGTTATCTAACTTGAGATAGCAACCAGAATAAGAAACATGGCCAAGAATTATATGCAAATGATCAGACTAAAAAAAAGTTCCTCAATAAACATTGAGCCTGTTCCTTTATTTCTTCTATCTTCAACAGTCAATTTGTCGGCATCATAGCGCGTATATTCTTGAGAATCAAGAATGCAATAGTCTTTCCAACAAGCAGATGCAATGACAGGAAGTAGGCAGCATCTGTGTAGAAAAAGCGCAGTCTATGTTTGGAGTCCAGTGATTCTTCATTTATGTAGATATAAATATGCTTGTTTATTCCTACGATTGCATCTGATTGTTGGAAAGACTGTAGCTTTCTTGGTCTAAAGAATTCTTGATGAAAAATGGATTGAAAGGGGAAAGAAAAAGACAAAAAGGAAAATAAAGGAAGAAAATTTAAATTTAAAGTTTATGAAATCTCAAAACAATTTGCCACATATAAGAACAAAGTCGAACAGTTTAATTTGTGCTTTTTTTAAAAAAGAAATTAGAACACCAAATCATCTGTGTCACTTGTTAAAACAACAAATTACAAGCACCATCTACTATGGCTCCCTCTGAAAGCTTTGAAGGTGGTGTTAGTGGGCATCACATATTCTCTCTCTAAGGGCATGAACGTAGCCTCCAAAGAGAGCCAGCAGTCAGGAACTATGACCTTCCCCTCCATGCTCACTGCCTAGACTGATTGATGACTACTTTAGCCAGGCCCAAGAGCAGGCCAACAAGGACACATCCTTTGATTTGCAACCACCCGCCCTCAACCAAAACTCTGCACCATATGTTCAAAAGGTCAGAAGCGTGGGGTGAAGTGCAACCAAAAGAATAACTGATGTTTCAAATAACTAAACAAAAAAGGGATTCTAATTGCCCACAACTAACATATACATGGTCAATGGATTTTTAAATTGTTCCCTTTCCGTCAGGCAGGTTGTTAACAATTATCATGTGTTTGAAAGCATAGTTTATGCTCTTAATCACCAGTTCTAAAATTTCTATGGCAAGTTTAGTATGCAGCTAACATGAAAAATAGTGAAATTCTTTAAAAAAAATGCTAAAGAATAAAAGGGTGAAACTCTGTTTCTGAAAAGTAAATGGTGACCGACAAGTTCCAGAGATTCACAACTCTATTAATCCCTCAAATTTGCGGCTGATTCAGACTATAAAATATAGGATTAGGTCATTCGGCCCAGAGTCTGCTCCGCCATTCCATCACGGCTGATATGTTTCTCAAACCCATTCTCCTGCTTCTCCTTGTAACCTTTGTTCCCCTCACTAATCAAGAACACATCTATCTCTGGTAAATACTCAATAACTTGGCCTCCACAGTAATGAGATCCACAGATTCGCCACCCTCTGGCTGAAGAAATTGCTCCTCATTTCAGTTCTAAAGGGCTATTCCCTCACTCTAAGGCTGTGCCCTGTGGTCCTAGACTCTCCTACTAACAGAATTATCTTCTCCATATCAACTGTATTAGGCCTATCAGTATTATGCAAGTTTCAATAAGATTCCCCCATTCTTCTAAACTCCATCGAGTACTGGCCCAGAGTCCTCAAACACTCCTCAACTGAAACTCTTCATCCCGAGCATCATTCTTGAAAACCTCCTCTGGGCCCCCTTCAACACGAGCACATCCTTCCTTAGATACAGAGCCCAAAAGTGCTCACAGTATTTCAAATCCTGTCTGACTAGAACCTTGTACAGCCTCAGCAGTACATCCCTGTTCTTGTATTCTAGCTCTTTTGAAATAAATGCTAACATTGTATTTGCCTTCCTAACAGCCACTGAGCCTGCATGTTAAGATTAAGAGTGACTCCCATGTCCCTTTGTGCTTCAGATATCCAAAGTCTTTCCCATTTAGAAAATAGACCCTCAAATCTTCCTACCAAAATGCACAACCTCACACTTTCACATGATGTCTTCCACTTCTTTGCCCACTCTCCTAGCATGTCAAGTCCTTCTGCAGCCTACCCGCCTCCTCAACATGACCTGTTACTCCAACTAGGTTTGTGTCATCTGCAAACGTAGCAACAATGCCCTCAGTTCCTTTACTCAGATTGTTAATGTAAACGTGAATCGTTGTGGTCTCGACATGACCCATGTAGAACTCCAATAGTCACCAGCTGCCAATGTGAAAAAGACCCCTTTAACCCACACTCTGCCTGCTGCCAGGCAGTCAATCCTCCACCCATGCCATTAACTTGTCCCAAACACTGTAGACTCGTATCTTATTTAGCAGCTACATGTTCGGCACCTTGTCAAAGCCTTGTGGAGATCCAAATAGATCATGTTGACTGGCTCTCCTTTGTCTAACTTGTTCATTACCACCTCAAAGAATTCTAACAGATTTGTCAGGAATGACCTCCCCTTGACAAAACTGTGCTGACTCAGCCCTATTTTACCATGTGCTTCTAGTACTCTAAAACCTCATCCTTAATAATGGACTCTAGAATTTTACCAACAACTGAGGTCAGACTAATTGGTCCATAGTTTCCTGTTGTCTGTCTCCCTCCCTTCCTAAGGGTGTTACATTAGCCATTTTCCAGTCCTCTGGGACCCCTCCTGACTTCAATATTCCTGAAAGATCTCCACCAATGCCTTTACAATCTCCTCAGCTATCTCCTTCAGAACTCTGGGGTATAGAGCATGGGGTTCAGGTGATTTATCCACGTTCAGACCTTTCAGCGTCCCCAGCATCACCTTCTTAGGGACAGCCACTACACTCACCTCTGTCCCGACTCTCTTGTTCATGAGCATTTTGTTTTATTTGTTTTAAAAGCAAGATCTGGTGTGTGGTCCAAGAACCAATATTGAAATGTTATCTTTAATCTCCAAAAAAAAAAAAAAAAATACGCTGCCAGTATCCAATGCATCTTTAAAGGCCGCAAATCTGTTCAACCCAGGTACAGGTTTATTTAGTTGAAGATTTAGAATGCTTCTCCACATTCCATTCAGACGACTGTCATAAATTTGTTCTTTTCCTTTCAAGGTGTCACTGTTATCACTAAGTTCCCCAAACAGGCCATAGAAACTAACCACCAAATCCACAGCAGAATCTGGCTATATTTTCAAATGAATATTAGGATCATGGTTCAAGATCAATACATCAAAAACACTGCTTGAATTCAGAGTTATTCTATTTTCTAAAGCCAATTAAAAAAATGCAGTTTAGTCACTCATGTGCTAATATTTGAAGCAAACAAGTTAGCCATGGTATAATCTGTTAGTGATACAGAACAAACAGACAGAGCATTGATAAGGAGATTCTCAAAAAAACCCCACACACACAGGCATGCACACTTGCTCTGGAGAAAGACAAAAAGCACCAGACATGGGACTACTGCTATCCACCATTTAGTCTTACCAAATGGAGAAGGTGAATTCTCGACCTGGAAAGTGCATAAATCAAGACCTACGGGACCCAAACCAGATAAAATGGATGAATAACTGGGAAATAAAGACCAAACAAAAACGAAAGAAGCACACATAATATACCCAACTGAAGAGCATGCGACAGTTATTGGGCAGTAGAGATTAAAGCAGCATAATTATTGATTGTTAATTTCTTCACATAATTGCATCAAGCAACCAAGCAATTTACAGCAAAAGAAATTTTGGGGAAATATATTCAAACAGCTATTCACGCACAAATGTGTTTTATGACAAATCAGCACTAGAATAAAAGCAACAGAAATTTATGTAAATTGGCATGCTCAAACTTCACAGGAAACCATTCTGCCACTACAAAGATGTTGTGCATGAGCTCAACAATGCTGCACACAACATACCGGTCTCATCTCCTGTTTTGTCCAATTCATCAGAGAGTATTCCAAGGATATCATCTTCTGTGGTTAGGACTTCTGAGAGATCAGCTAGAGGGTCTTCACTGCTACCTATAGAAAATCAAACTTCTCAGTTTAGCACAGTATTAACTTTCACTTTTTTTAAAATTCACTCAGAGCAGGGATATTACAGGTTGCCAACTTTTATTGCCTGTTCCTAGTTGCCTTTGAGAAGGTTGTGGTAAGCTGCCTTCTTGAACCACAACAGTCCACATGCTGTAGGTTGACCTATAAAGCTATTCGGAAGGGAATTCCTCAAGTTTGACCCAGTGAAAGTGAAGGAACAGCAATATATTTGCAAGTCAGGATGGTGAGTGACTTCGAGGGGAACTTGCAGATGGTGGTATTCACATGTATCAGCAGCCCTTGTCCTTCTAGATGGAAGTGGTCATGGGTTTGGAAAGTTCTATCAGAGGATCTTTGGTGAATTTCCAGCAGTGATCATGTAGATAGCATACACTGCTGCTACTGAGTGTCAGTGGTGGAAGGAGTGGGAACAGCTCCAATCAGGTGAGCTGCTTTTTCCTGGATGATGTCAAGCTTCTTGAGTGTTGTTGGATCTACAGCATCCAGGTAAGTGGGGAGTATTATATCACACTCCTGGCGTGTGTCTGTAGATGGTGGACAGGCTTTGGAGGTGACAGGAGGTAAAAATTCCTTGCCTCTGACCTGCTCTTGTAGCCATTGTGCTTATGTGGCGAGTACAGTCAATGGTCATCCCAAGGATTTTGATTGGGGGTGGGGGGTGGGGGGGTGGTGGCGGCATGGGATTCAGTGATGGTAACACTATTGCATGGGATTCAGTGATGGTAACACTATTGAATGTCAAAGGGTGTTGATTAGATTATCTCTTATTGGAGATGGTCATTGCCCGACATAGCACCTTTTCAGCTGGATGCAAAAGATCGTATGATATTAATGAAAGAAATGTATATAATTTCCTTGAGTCCTAACCAACATTACTTCTTTGACCAATTAGAATACCAAGGATATTAGTATTTGTAAAGAATGCTGGCTACATAAATGGCTATTACATAGTCATGAAGTTCAACATTTTAAGTTGTTTCAATGATAAATTTGGTCTAGATCACTGAGCCAATATTAATCATAAGTGCAGCTTGCACCATAGTCAAGAAAGTATCAGGTGAAAAGATTACACGAAAGTAGAAATTTGATGATCCCGTCATAACCTGGGAACGTCCTTAGTATGAATGTTCAAGCAGTTTTTGAATCTGATCCAGTCAATGTAACTTATTTTTGAAATGATTGACAAGTTACATCTTGACATAACAATAACCAATGATAAAGGTACCATTCTGAGAACAAATACACCTGGATGATAATAACTGCAAGAGGATTAAATATGACGTATTATATACGTAAGATAAGCCAATAAAACAAGATTCAATTAATTTCGAAGGGGACAACTTCAGTAAACCAAGTGCTTAAACAGACCAACAAAGCCCTGGCAATGAAGGAAAACCAATGGACCACAACGTACATGTACAGGTTAAGTACACTTTAAGTCTAACAAATGAAAACAAAGAAATTCAATCATAAATGGATTGCTAGAAATACAAAAAAAAACTTTACAAGGTGTAGAGGCAAAAGACAAGAAAATGACGTCAGATGCAGTAGAATCTGATAGCACAGCTAAGGAATTACAGAATGAACATAGAACATAGAACATAGACCTAAACAAAACTTGCATGTTGAAAAATGGCTTACACAAATTAATGTAGCTGTATGCATGTGCTCATATATACATGATGCTGAGCTAGCTGGTGAAGAGATTGACCTGAAAGCATTACTGGACTCCACACTGACCACGTTCACAGCCTTTGTACAGCAGCGATAAAAAAAAATCAAGCAGAATATTGAGGCCCTTGTGATTAGGCAAAGTATTCAAACCACAAGGGAAATACCAATAGCCACCCTGGAAGCAGAGAAGAGGTTGCCGATATCAGCAGATTGAGCTTGATGAAACAAGGTTATAAAGTTTTGGTTTTCAGGCCAGTAAGACTAATTATAGGAAACGTTTGGTAAGCAAACTACTATGTAGAATTAAAGTAGTTAACTTTGAACACTAAGATAAAATAGCAACTACAGATGAGGGGAGGTATGTATTAACTAGCAAAACGCAAGTTTAAGACATATAGACCACATACAGAATAAGTGATACAGTCAGTTCTGCTTTAACGCATGTTTCTTCAACGCAAATTGGCTTTAACATAATTGAAGAGGTTAGACCGCTGTTTGTGGAACGCGAATGTTCCTACCTGTATTGGCTATAATGCAATTCCGGCCCCATTAGTTTATATGGCGTGGCTATTGCATGTTTTGCTTATGATGCGAGATCTCTTGAGAACGGAGCTATCATGTTATACCAGAAACGTCTGCACCTGAAATGGCATTCTCCAAGTGGGGTAGTGGGTCAAGAACTCAGTGGACTCTTTTGGAGGCACAAGTTAATACGATGATGGAGAGACTGTACATTATCAGAAACAGGAACAAGAGTAGGCTATTTGGCCTCTTGAGCCTGTTCTGCCATTCAATAGCATCATGACTGATCCAACATTCCTCACACCCACCTTCCTGCTCTTTAGAATCACTGTTTTGTGGCAACCTATGAGGCAACGCTCATTTGCACTTAACTGTGCAGTAAGATGTTAAACAAGTGTACCAAACTCAATATTAGTTTGTACGCTGGCAACCTCTAAGTCACAGTATGGCTCCTCTAGATGACAAAAAGCACATAATGTAGTTATTTTACTTCCTTAATGGGAAACATTAATAACTGAGTGTTGTGTGCCTACACATACCTTGTCCTCCCTGATGTTTTGTTGCCACCTGAGTTGTGGCTGAACTCAACAGTGGATCAGAGGAAGGATCCAGGAAACTTATATTTGCATTCAGAACTCTGTTTGGTGGCCGAGATAATTCATCATCAGAAAGAGCATCCAGACTCAGTTTGCTGTGTTGACTTGCAAGAAGAAGATTTTTTCCAAAGAAGGCTTCCTGTATAGGGAACAAATTAGGCAATAAAATAATGAAACAAGTGTACTCCAAAATAAACAAGTGTCATAGTTTGGGAGAGATGGAGAAACAGTGCCAACATCTCTGGACTAGTTATCCAGAGACCAAGACTAATTCCCTGGTGACATGGGTTTAAATTATACCATGGCAGCTCATGGAATTTAATTTCAATTCATAAAAAGTATGGAAACTGGAACTGAAAGCTAGTCTCCGTAATGATGGCAACAAAATAGTAAACGTTATAAAACCCATATGGTTCACTAATGTCCTTTTGGGAAGGAAATCTACCATTCTTGCCTGGTGGTCCCTTACACGGGATGCTGGACCAAGATCAAGGTGGCTGTCTCCTGAATGCTCTCTAATACGGCCTAGTGAGGAGGACAGCCTTAGGTTACAAGGACAGACAGGCTGGTCAGATGGGCTGATCAGTAGCAAATAGAATTCAATCAAGATAAAGGTGAACTGTTGTACTTGGGCATGACAAACAAGGCAAAGAAACACATGATGAACTATCAGACCCTGGGAAGCACCAAGGATTACAGGGGCATTGGCATGCCTGTACACCAGTCCTAAGGTGTAAAAGTACCTTAGAAATTCACCAAAGATCATCAAACAGCATCTTCCAAGCCCACAACCTCTTCCACCTGGAAGGACAAAGGCAGTAGACATATGGAAACACCACCACCTTCAAGTTCCCCTTGAAGCCAATTACCATTCTGACTTGGAAATATATTGCTGTTCCTTCACTGTCGCTGGGTCAAAATCCTGGAATTCCCTCCCTAATGCCATTGTGGGTCAACCTACAGCAGGTGGATTGCAGTGGTTCAAGGCGGCAGCTCATCATCACCTTCTCAAGGGCAACTAGGGATGGGCAATAAATGATGGTCTAGTCAGCAACACCCAAATCCCACAACGGAATAGAAAAAAACAAGCAGGTGGAAAATGTGTTTGGAGGAGGTATATGGGAAATTTGCCTTTATTACCAGACGCACAGAGTTTGCCAGTAGGGAGGTTTGCTGGAACTGTATAAAAAGTTGGTTAGGCCACAGCTAGGAGATGGTGTGCAGTTTTGGAATTCACATTATAGGAGGGATGTGATAGCACTGGAGAGGGTGTACAGGAGATTTACCAGGCTATTCCCTGGGCTGGATAGTTTTAGGCGTGAAGTGAGATTGGACAGACTGGGATTTTTTTTTAGACCATAAGAGATTGAGAAGGGACATGACTGAGATGTATAAAATTATGAGTGGCATAGATGGGGGAGACAGAAATAAACCTTGAAGAAGGGATCAATAATCATAGAACATAGATTCAAGGTTTGAGGCAAAAGATTAAGAGGGAATATGAGGAAAATCTTTTGAGGATCTGGAACTCACTGCCTTTGAAGAGTATTTAGAAGCAGAAACCCTCACAATATTTAAGAAGTACTTAGATGTGCATTTCGCTGCTAAGGCATACAAGGTTATGTTCAAGTGTTGGAACGTAGGATTAGAATTGTTAGGTGGTTGTTTTTGACCAGCGTGGATGTGATGTGCTGAAGGGCCTTTTTTCTGTGTTGTAGATCTCTATGACACTACAAATAGCGACGGTCAACAATTGTTGGCCAGGTCAGCAACATCGACATCCTATGAAAGCAGAATTTTAAAAAAAAGAAGAGATTAATAAATGGCCCAGCTTTTGGTTTGGTGGAGCCAATGTCTTTCCTTTCTTTAAAAAAAGTTCTATGCCAGTGCCCTCAGAATGCTGAATCAAGCAAGTAGTGTGCTTTCATTTTTCATCATTTCACTAGCAGTACATTTCAAAAGGTGAACAAAAGGCAAAATTTAAATATTTCATTTCATGAGTTATACTGCATACTTTAATATTTTGGTTACAGTTGACAAATCAACAAAGGTCAACCCCAGAAACTAAGGATTGTATTGACCTTTTATTCTAATAAATGCATTTGAGATAAGTCTGTTTAGATGAATACCAATACTGCGTGCAATTCTGGTCTCCCCGTTATACGAAGGATGTGGTGAAACTTGAAAGGGTTCAGAAAAGATTTACAAGGATGTTGCCAGTGATGGAGGGTTTGAGCTATAGGGAGAGGCTGAATAGGCTGGGGCTGTTTTCCCTGGAGTGTCGGATGTTGAGGGGAGACGCTTATAAAGGTTTTCATGAGAGGCATGGATAGGGTAAATAGACAAGGTCTTTTCCCCAGGGTGGAGTCGTCCAAAACTACAGGGCATACATTTTAGGTGAGAGGGGAAAGATTTAAAAGGGACTTAAGCGGCAACTTTTTCACGCAGAGGGTGGTGTGTATATGGAATGAGCTGTCAAAAGAAGTGGAGGAAGCTGGTACAGTTACAACATTTAATGGGCATCTGGATGGGTATATGAGTAGGAAGGGTTTAGCGTGATATGAGCCATATTCTGGCAAATGGGACTGGATTTATTTAGGGTAAATGGTTGGCATGGTTGAGTTCCACCGAAGGATCTGTTTCTGTGCTGTATATCTCTATGACTCTAATACTCTCGTTGCATGATCATGCTGTGTGTAGTTGACTGCTCACGGTCATTACCAAAGGAATGCCCTTTTCCCCACTTTGGGAGTCATGACCTGATTTTGAAACTTCAGCAAAACTGGTGCCAGAAACATCTAGCTGTCAACACAAAGCAAGCCGAAGTGCACTGAAGTGACTAAGCTCAATCCTGCATTGCCAGCTTATTTGATTTATCGCCTGGAATTTGAAGCGCAGCTTTAATTCAATGCCAGAAACTAACCTACTGAGATCTGCAGAAAATCTACCCAGCAGTTCAAATCTCAAGGGATATTGGTGCTTAAAAATTAAAGGGCTACATTTGGGGACAAATATTGATTTACTCTTAAGGAATAAAACAGGAATTCCACTTATACAACCTGAAAATGAAAAATTTACAGGACCGGGGCGAGAGTGAGACTAATTCAATAGCCCTTCCTCTGAATCAGGATAGGCACAACAGGACAAATGGCACATTTCTATGCTGCAAGATCCCTTTAATTTGGTGTCAATGTTGAATCTGTGAATGAAGGTCAGGGGAAAGAAAATAAATATCAGGCAAAACTTAAGTAAAACCCAACCCCATGTGGAGACACGAAACAATGGTGGAGAAGGCTCGATGGCTGGGAAAATAAATGTGAACAGTATTGCTCTGCTTGGTACAGGAAGGTATTTTTCATAAAACACAGCAGAGCACATTGTCTATCAGAAGATGGAAATCAGAAGGCAGCAAAATGGCACCACCTACAGTGGTCAGGACACTTCAGATCTTAGCCACTCAATAAAAGATCTACTCCTGTTTACCTGTTGCTTCTTTTCAAACAACATCTTGGATCTTGTCTCCTTGAAGGAGGACAGACATTGCCCAGCTCCCTTAACCACTTGAACAAAGTCTCCAACTCTGAGTTAAGTGTCAGAAACTTAAGAAAGTTCTGTCTTACTTATCTAAATAGTCACCTTAGGCAAAAAAAATCCATGCCTAACTCCTACACAACAGAGCCCTGTCCTTGACTCCCCCTCGTCCGAAGCTCCAATTCACCCCACCCAAACTGAACTGACTCGGCCCTGACTGGACAACATCGCCCACTGCAGTACCCAACTCACTCATTCAGGACTATACATTCACTGGCCCATATTTATGCAATAATAGAAAAATGCTGTTTAAATATCCCAAAGTTTTTCAGTATATGAGTGAATGAATACTTACCAGAATACGGCAGCTAGTGCTGCAACGAGGGTACATGGTTTGTCTTCCCCTGACAATCTCTCACAATGAAAGAGAAGTCTGATTTCAGGTATGATTCGCATTTCTGAAGAGAATGGGATTGAAAGGCCCAGACTCAGCCAGGTGGAAAACAGTGGGAGTGTGGCAGGCCAATACTGCTTGCTACTCCTTGAAAAGTTCAGTGTCATACATATACTGTACTTTACAAAGTCTGTGTTATATGTTTTAATGTTAAAACAGTCTATCTCATCTATTTTCTAACTGGTTATGGCTTGATTTGATTGCATGAAGTACCTTGCAGGAAAAATTCCCACTCAGCTTGTTTAATATTTTAAATTCAGTTTAAAATAAAATCTGGAAATAAACATCTATGATCAGTATCATGAACCTGACAAGTTCATCTAAAAGAACATACTTTGTTCATTAATGCTAATTATGGAAGGAAATCTGCCACTGTGAACAGGTTTTTTTTCTACATCGGACTACTGTCCCACAGTAATGTGGCTCATTTTTAAGTACCCTCTGAACTGGCTCAATATGTCAATCAGTTGGTCCACCATTACCTTCTAAAGACTGCTAAGATGGGCAAATAATGTAGGACATAGCCTGAGATGTTTAAAAACAAATAAGCTAATGAGCTTAACACCCATGACAATTGTGAAACAAGCTGTCTACAAGTCCAGAACTAAACAAAGCTGTGTGAACTGATCTTTGTGCAATAGACAGATTTCTCAGAAGGATACAAAGAAATTGATTACTTTAAACAAGTTAGTGTTAGGTCAGTGTTTGGATAAAACACTGAAAAGGTTACTTAAGTCTGAGTACATTTAAGATCAGGTGTATGAGCACAGCTCCAGGAAGAAGCTATCTGCAGTTCCAGTCTAAGTTAAATCACAAGTTACTTAAATCTGATGAGGTGCTACAGGACCTCATTAAGTACTTTGTGTCGGTATTCACGAGGGACATGTCGGATGTTGAGGTTAGGGATAGATGTTTGATTACTCTAGGTCAAGTTGGCATAAGGAGAGGGGAAGTGTTCGGTATTCTAAAAGGCATTAGGGTGATCAAGTCCCCAAGTCCAGATGGGATCTATCCCAGGTTACTGAGGGAAGCGAGAAAGGAAATAGCTGGGGCCTTAACAGATATCTTTGCAGTATCCTTCAGCACGGGTGAGGTCCCAGAGGACTGGAGAATTGCTAATGTTGTCCCCTTGTTTAAGAAGGGTAGCAAGGATAATCCAGGTAATTATAGATAGGTGAGCCTGACGTCAGTGGTGGGGAAGCTGCTGGAGAAGATACTGAGGGATAGGATCTATTTACATTTGGAAGAAAATGGGTTTATTAGTGATAGGCAGCATGGTTTTATGCAGGGAAGGTCATGTCTTACCAACTTGATAGAATTCTTTGAGGAGGTGACAAAGTTGATAGATGAGGGAAGGGCTGTAGATGTAGAAGGCGTTTGATAAGGTTCCTCATGGTAGGCTGATGGAGAAAGTGAAGTCACATGGGGTCCAGGGTGTACTAGCGAGATGGATAGAGAACTGGCTGGGCAACAGGAGACAGAGGGTTGTAGTGGAAGGGAGTTTCTCAAAATGGATAACTGAACAGTGGTGTTCCACAGGGATCCGTGTTGGGACCACTATTGTTTGTGATATACATAAATGATCTGGAGGAAGGTATAGATGGTCTGATTAGCAAGTTTGCAGATGACACTAAGATTAGTGGAGTAGCAGATAGTGAAGAGGACTGTCGGAGAATGCAGCAGAATATAGATATATTGGAGAGTTGGGTGGAGAAATGGCAGATGGAGTTCAATCCAGGCAAATGCGAGGTGATGCATTTCGGAAGATCCAATTCAAGAGTGAACTATACAGTAAATGGAAAAGCCCTGGGGAAAACTGATGCACAGAGAGATCTGGGTGTTCAGGTCCATTGTACCCTGAAGGTGGCAACGCAGGTTGATAGAGTGATCAAGTAGGCATACGGCATGCTTTCATTCATCGGACGGGGTATTGAGTACAAGAGTTGGCAGGTCATGTTGCAGTTGTATCGGACTTTGGTTTGACCACATTTGGAATACTGCGTACAATTCTGGTCGCCACATTACCAAAAGGATGTGGATGCTTTGGAGAGGGTGCAGAGGAGGTTCACCAGGATGTTGTCTGGTATGGAGGGCGCTAGCTATGAAGAGAGGTTGAGTAGATTAGGATTATTTACATTAGAAAGACGGAGGTTGAGGGGGGACCTGATTGAGGTCTACAAAATCATGAGAAGTATAGACAGGGTGGATAGCAAGAAACTTTTTCCCCCCCAGAGTGGGGGACTCAATTACTAGGGGTCACAATTTCAAGGAGAGAGGGGAAAAGTTTAAGGGAGATATGCGTGGAAAGTTCTTTACGCAGAGGGTGGTGGGTGTTGCCAGAGGAGGTGGTAGAGGCGGGCACGATAGCGTCATTTAAGATGTATCTAGACAGATACACGAATGGGCAGGGAGCAGAGGGATACAGATACTTGGAAAATAGGCAACAGGTTTAGAGAGAGGATCTGGATTGGCGCAGGCTTGGAGGTCCGAAGGGCCTGTTCCTATGCTGTAATTTTCTTTGTTCTTTGTTCAGACAGGGAGTTTGATGTGAGTACTACAAGAGGTGTATTGGGGTACTATACAAGGTGTGGTTTTGGGCACTATACAAAAACTGTTGATTTTCTTTTTGATCCATAAGGCGTGTTTTGGGATTAATGACATGATACTTCTGTTACGTGTTTAAAAATCTTTGAGTGTGTGTTATTATGTAGACAGTTTGATTTTTTTTATTTTCATTTCTTTTATTAATAAACTACTGGTTCATCAACTGGTGGAGTTGTGGATAGTGTGGAGGCTGTTGTAGGTTACAACGGGACATTGACAGAATGCAGAGCTGGGCAAAGAAGTGGCGGATGGAATTCAACCCAGAAAAGTGTGAAGTGATTCATGTTGGAAGGTCGAATTTGAACGCAGAATACAGGGTTAATGGCAGGATTCTTAGCAGAGTGGAGGAACAGAGGGATCTTGGTGTCCACGTCCACAGATCCCTCAAAGTTGCTACCCAAGTTGATAGGGTTGTTAAGGCGGCGTATAGTGTGTTGGCTTTCATTGGCGGGGGGAATTGAGTTTAAGAGCCGCGAGGTTATGCTGCAGCTCTATAAAACCCTGGTTAGACCACACTTGGAATATTGTGTTCCGTTCTGGTCGCCTCATTATAGGAAGGATGTGGAAGCTTTAGATAGGGTGCAGAGGAGGTTTACCAGGATGCTGCCTGGACTGGAGGGCAGGTCTTATGAGGAAAGATTGAGGGAGCTAGGGCTTTTCTCATTGGAGCGAAGAAGGATGAGAGGTGACTTGATGGAGGTGTACAAGACGATGAGAGGCATAGATAGAGTGGATAGCCAGAGACTTTTTCCCAGGATGGAAATGACTATTATGAGGGGGCATAATTTTAAAGGTGATTGAAGGAAGGTATAGGGGAGATGTCAGAGGTAGGTTCTTTACACAGACAGTGGTGGGTGCGCGGTATGTGCTGCCAGCAGTGGTAGTGGAGTCAGATACGTTTGGGACATTTAAGCGACTCTTGGATAGGCACATGGACGATAGTAAAATGTAGGGTATGCAGGGTAGTTTGATCTTAGTAGGATAATAGGTCGGCACATCGTGGGCCGAAGCACCTGTACTGTGCTGTACTGTTCTATATTCTTTGTTTCTCTCTAAGCAACATTAAAGAATAACAAACCTCTTTCATCTTTTAGAAACTGTCTTACTCCTTTTCCACTAGCCATTCTTTTGATTTTTCTCCTTACCTCACCAATTCGAAACATTTACAAACTTGAGGCTTTCAAATCTGAAAGTGTTTTTTTGGTGCAAGATGATATCTACCAAGAAATGCATTTAGCAGCAGAGTGATGTTACAAACTGTAAATTTGAGTTGGAATTAGAACATGCCACAATAAAGATTTTTAATATCACTCAGAAGAACATAGTTAGGTTAGACCACTGCACAAAGCCGCTCTTTGTTAGAATGCTCTCACGTCTAAAACAGCAACATGTAGCTTCCTTCACTGAAACACTGTTAACTTTGAAGCTAATTAGACAATTGTGATGAGTACATAGTGATGTCCACTTCTTCAGAAGACATTAGAAGTCTTGCTTCGAAATACACAGGAGCAGATGGGAAAGCACATTTGTTAAGTAAATATACCTGCAGATATGCTGGAAAAATCTCTTCCAATTTGTTCTTTTTCTTCCTGTATCGCTTTTTCATTTTCTCCACAATCTCAGGGGCAACAGCTGCCTCATCGCCAGGTAGCTCTTGTAGTTGTTCCACCCAACCTACTGCAAATGAGAAAAGAACTTCAATTGTTTACACCTAAAAATAATTTTGCATGATCCAATTTTGAGCAGTATGACAAGACAGAGTCACCACTTGAGAACAGGAACTTTTTTTCTATTTATGGGACTTGGGCGCCACTGGCTGGGCCAGCATTTACTGGCCATTCCTAGATGCCTTCGAGAAGCCTGCAGTTCACATGCTGTAGGTTGACCCACAATGCCCTCAGGAAAAGAATTCCAGGATTTTGACCAAGTAACAGTGAAGGAACGGCAATATATTTCCAAGTGGGGATGGTGAATGGCTTGGAGGGGAACTTGCAGGTGGTGGCATTCCAAGTTTCTGCTGTCCTTGTCTTTCTAGAAAGAAGTGATTGTGGGTTTGGAAGGTGCTGTCTGAGGATCTTTGATGAATTTCTGCAGTGCATTTGTAGATCATGCACACTGTTCCTACTGAGCATCAATGGTGGAGGGAGTGGACGCTTGTCGATGTAGTGCCGATCAAACGGGCTGCTTTGTCCTGCATGGTGTCTAGCTTCTTGAGTGTTGTTGGGGCTGCACTCATCCAGGCAAGTGGGGAGTATTCCATCACACCCCTGACTTGTACCTTGTAGATGGTAGACAGGCTTTGGGGAGTCAGGAAGTGAGTTACTCGCCACAGTACTCCTAGCCTCTGACTTGCTCTTGTCGTCACTGTGTTGATGTGGTGAGTCCAGTTCAGTTTCTGGGTCAATGATAACCCCTCCAGGATGTTAATGGTGGGGGATTCAGTAATTGTAACACTATTTAATGTCAAGGGCTTGGAATGTGCTGTCTAAGGATCTTGGTGACTTTCTGCAACACATTTTTATACATAGTACACACTACTTCTACCGAGCATCAGTGGTGCAGGGAATGGATGCTTGCGGATGTGGAGCCAATCAACCAGGCTGCTTTGTCCTAGACGTTGTCAAGCTTTAGTGTTGTTGGAACTGCACCCATCCAGACAAGTGGGGAGTAATCCATCACAATCCTGACTTGTGACTTGTAGATAGTGGACAGGATCGAGGAGGTAGGAGGCAAGTTATTTGATGCAGTATTCTAAAGATTGACCTACTCTTGTAGCCATTACATTTGTGGCAAATCCAGTTGACTTTCTGATCAGTAATAGCCCGCAGGATGTTGATAGTGGGGAATTCAGTATGCGTGACACCAGTGAATGCCAAGCAGTGGCAGTTAGTTAGTGTCTCATTGGACATGGTCATTGTCTGGCATTTGTGTGGTGCAAATGTTAGTTGTCATTAATCAGCCCATGCCTGGATATTGTCCAAATCTTGTTGCACTTGAACATGTATCAGAGTTGTGAATGATTCTGAATATTGTGCAATGATAAGCAAACCACTTCAGGCCTTATGATGTAGGGGAGGTCATTTGCAAATACAGAAAGTCTCATTATGTGAATCAGCAGTCCTGTGGTTTTAACTAACATCAGAGGTTTCACCACACTGAACCAATTGCTGACAATATTATATCATGATATTTCTTTGAGTGCTTTCTCCTGCTAACGTAATTGAGTTAAGAAGCTTAACTGGATACATGTGATCTATTAGCATGCAAAATACGAGTTCCCTCTTTAGATGAATGATGGATGATTTGAGAAATTTGATATACATTGTGAGGAGAACATTAATATTTATAAGTTCTGAGAGAGGTGTTTTGGGCATTAAATAATGCAAATCTCAAAAGAAGTCTCATTGGTACCTGCCAAAAAATATCTTGGACGCCCAGATTGTCTAGCACTCGTGAGCAGTCGTGTTATTTTCCCTTTCTGAACACAGTACAAAAATAAAATACAGTGTGAATACTGGAAATCGGAAATAAAAACTGACAATGCTAGAAATGTTCAGGAGGTCAGGACGTAATTATGGAGAAATGAAGAGTTAATGTTTCGGATTAATGATCTTTGATAAAGTAAACAATCTAAGTGTTAGCTGTGTTTCTTTCTCCACAGATGCTACCCAACCTACAGTACAGGCTTCCCAAGAACACTAAACCATGTGATTCTAAGTATCTGTATTCTTTTTTCTCTATGATAGGAAATTTGCTTCAAATAACTTCCTGCACGTTGGATAGATCACTTACCATCCTCCTTCCCAGTTATCATTTCAGAGACTGAACCAGTGGAGTTCTTCCTTGACAGTGAGCGTTTTGTCTTGTTCTGTCCTGTCCGGCTCCTCTGACGTACCATAAACCCACCAATTCCTAAGAGTGAGACAAGAAGTAAATATATCAAAATGGCTCTGAACTGAAAATAATAAAGGCTGCATCAAGTTATGATTCTTAAACTTATACCTACAGAATACAATTAAGAGCATAAGACATAGAAGCAGAAATAGGTCTCTCTGATTCTAGACTGTCCAACAAGGGGATAGGACCTCTCTGCATCTACCCTGTCAAGTCCCTAAGATTCTTACATGTTTCTGTATGTCACTTCTGATTCTTCTACATTCCAATGAGTACAGGCCCTACTGACTCAACTTCTCCTCAGAAGACAATCCATCTATATCTGGTATCAGCCTAGTGAATCTTCCCTGCCTCCAATGCCAGTACATCGGTCCTTAGGTAAGGGCCCAAAACTGCTCACAGTATTCCAGTCTGACTAGAGTCTTGTTTAGTTTTAGTATTACCTCTCTACTTCTATACTCCACTCTCTCTAAATAAAGGCCAACATTCCATTTCCCTTCTATTTCTGTAATTCTGTCCAGAATATCCTTTTCCTTGATAATTTTCTCCTGTTTGCTCCTGAAGAAGCTGAATTTCTGCCCAGGTATGTTTCACTATAGAGTTCACACTCTGGTTACCTCACTCGAATTCCTATTTGTAACACAGGATATTGAAATTAAAATGTGGCAGGTTCTATTGCTGCAAAAAGTATCATTACTGAGTTGAATTCTCATATATGCACTAATAATTTTTAACACGGTCAGTAGAAATGTGCTTTCATCATTGTAGTGTCCAAGGTCAGGTTTAAATAAAACTTGAATGCAGCCTATGAACATAGTCTTTATGGCTTGGCTACTCAACAGGTAAGTTTACTGAATTACCAGGGTATTCAATTTCAAAAATCAACTAATACCCTCCAAGCTGTTTTGTTTTGGTATTGTATGCTTGTATTTACAGTTTGCCAATAAAGAAAACTGGTAAATGTGCTTAATTAGAATAGATACACAACCATATGCCATAAAGAATGAAAAAACACAGCAAAACCAAGGTGAAGGCTCAACGTTTGATCATATATATGGTTTTTAAAGAGACTTTTAAAAGGCAAGAAGAAAGGTGCAGGGGCAGAATTCCAGAGGGCACGAAGCGTCTGCAGGTTCAACTGGCAGTAGAATGGAACTCCAGTTGGGCGTAAGCAGTGTTGGCAGGGATATGTTGCCAGAGTAGGTTGTTCACAGATGGAAGGATGTATAGAAAACGAGGAACAAGGATCTTTAAGTCGACTTAGTGGCACACAGGAGGCCAGGAGACCTTCACAAAAACATGGTTTACAATTGTGTAGTTGAAGGGGTTTCAATAAAGTGAAGGTTGTGAATCATGAGGGCAAGAAGTTCCCTTTTCCCCATCTCACTGCCTTACATGACAGATTTACATGACACTTAACAGATTGGGATGAATGGGTTATACTAAAATTCACAGTGTGAAAATATCACAATTAACAAAAACATTAACAAAACAGGACTAATTGTTACTGCAACATTGTCTCCTTTCTCCATTTACATGAGACCTTACAGTAACCATAGTTGAAAGGGAACATGATCTCCCAGGCATCTACAAATGATGCTCCTTGCTAACATGTTCAATGTCACCCAGTATTCACTCTTCTCATTATTCAATGCTCCGTGGGAATGTTAATCACCTCAATTTAACACCTTCCCATGGCAGTATGAGATTGCGAAACACATCTCATTATTTTGCAGTCTCGTGTACTGATGCCCCTGTACACTAAGCCACTCCTAAAGCAGTTCTCAAGAGAAAATAGTTAATTGAGGATTATTATCACATTAGCAATATACTTGTTTTGTGGTGCTTAGCAATTTAAAACATCATTACACCTCCAAGTCAAATGAATGCAAGTTTAGTGTGACAACAGTAACTTAAAAATAACAATCAATTGAGAAGGTTCCTGTTCAAGAAACAAAGCTTGGGGGAAAGGTAAAAGAGGATCTGGAGGATTATACTAGCAAATAATATCTGAAAGAAAGAAAAGGCTTGCATTTGTATTGGATCTCTCATTACCTCAGGATGTCCAAAGTACTTCATAGTCAATTAAGAACTTGCTAAGTGTAATCATTGGTGTACTATAGGAAATATGTCCTTTTAATCTTTACAATATAATTTGCTGACCCCTTGGTAACATTTAAAAAAGCTTCAGCCAATTAAATGATATCAAACTGAACTCAGAAGTTACAGATCCTGGCAACAACCCAACAATCGTATTTCAGATTCATGGTCAGAACTAGCCAGGTGCCTCACCAAGCTGTTCCAGCACAGCAACAACACCGTCAGTTGTATGCCAATGTGGAGAATTGCCAGGTAGATGCGGTTCACAAATAAAACCCAGAAAAAAAAAATCTAATCTTGCCAATCAGCCTACTATAGATCAGTGTTGATATTGTTGCTACGTGGCACTTGCACAGCAATTACATGCTCACTGACATCCTGTTTAGGTTCCACAAAGTACAATCAGCTCCTAACCTAATGACCACCTTAGTCAAAACAGGGAAAAAAGACTCGAGCTGAACTCAAGAGGTGAGTGAGTGTGACAGCCTTTGACATAAAGGCAAGATTTTATCAAGTATATACTAAAGCTGAAGTCCATGCTAATAAGGTTGAAAATTCTTCACTGGTTCACATCATACCTAGCACAAAGGATGGAGGTCATTATTCTTGGAAGTCAATCATCTAAGTTCAAGGATAACACAGCAGGAGTTTGCTCAGTTAGTGCCGAATTAAATACCATAGCCACAAGCAGCAGGTCAGAAGTTGTGAAGTCTGGTGAGATTAACTCATCCTCGACCACCTAAAATCTGTCTACCATCTACAGTGCACAAGTCAGGAGTCCACTTGCCTGGATGGCTGAAGCTACAACGACACTCATCTAACTCAATACCATTCAGAACAAAGCAGCTCACTTGATCTACCATGTATTCACTCCCACAATAGCAGCACACTGTACAGTATTAAGGGTGTACTGCAGCCACACATAGGCTCCTTCAACAGGCATTTCCAAACCCATGACATTATCTTGTAGAAGCTCAAGGGCAGCAGATGCATGGCAACAAAACCACCTGCAAACTCCATTCCAAGCCAAACCATCTTGACTCGGAAACAAAAACAGGAACTGCTGGCGAAACTCAGCAGGTCTGGCAGCATCTGTGGGAAGAAAGCAGAGTTGCAAGTCCAGTGACTCCTCATCAAACTCAGAACCAGATTGCTGCTCCTTCATGGACACTGGGTCAAAATCCTACAACATCCTTCCTAACAGCACAGAATGAATCTATACTAACAGTTTAAAAATGGTGGCTCCTCAGCATTTTCTCAATGGCATTTAGGCATGGACAACAAAAGCCAAGACCTGCTGGTGACGTTCACATCCCAAACAAAATGAAGAAAAAGATATGCCTGCCCTTGAAGTCCTCCTCACCTTTAGTTAAAATTCACTGTTAATTTTCAATCTTGCAACCTTTTTTTTTAAGCACAGCACGGAAATCGTTCAATCAATTCCATTATTTTTGCATTACTTTTTATTTCACTAACCTTGCACTCATCTGATTAAATTCTACCAACAACACTATGATAATGACAATATAATCTTTATTTATCATCTTGACTGAGGGATAAACATTGGTCAAGACACTAGGGATAATATCTTAGCCCTTCTCCAAAATAACTACAGCAACCTTGATATCATGTATACTACTCAGGTAGACATCTGTTGAACATTTTTTTCTGCTCAGATAGTTCAGTGAACCCTCTGTGGCCACGGACTTTGTGATCAAGGATCTGAAGCGGGACTGGAATAAAACATTTTCTGACTCACAAGCAGCTGAGGGTTCTATATCTTCAGAAAATTACAGACACAAGCACAGAAAGGAGATATCAAATGAACTTGAAATAAGAGTCAGGTACCATAAATGACAAAGGAGTGGGAGGCAGCTAGAGAGAAAATGAGTAAGAGGAAAAGGAACTGCTGCAAATCACCAACAGATTTCACTGTTGTCTGGCACTTACTGAGCTGCTTTTACACATCAATTAAAACAGAGGGTGATTCATTATTTTCAGTGTCTGCCAAGTATTTTAAGATGTTACAAAAGCACTTTGGCCTGCATTCAATTTTAAACATTTCCATTGTCAATCTACATCAAATGTTTATTAAAAATATAATCACGAGACTCAACTCGAGCTGTGCCTAGTTCACAGAAAATAGTCTTTAATCTAGTTTTACTTCAGAGCCCGGTGGATTATATTTGTTTTAATCAGATTCTTTACCAGGTCTGTATGGTTTCCTTTTCCTCTTCTTTAGGCTGTCAGACCCCTCAGCTCCCTTACAGTCATCATCTGCTGGTTCCCGCTCTGGACTTGTAAGTGTATCAGATTTTGCATCACAGTCCATTAGGTCAGCTGCTGTAAATTTAAGATTGAACAGTTAACTGGAGGTACCATAGGTAGCCTTTACATCATTTTCACACAACATAATACTAAACTGTGTTGAAAATACATTCAGAGATGTTCAGTTAACTGTCCCCAAAGCAGTCTTCATTACTTGACTCATGTCCAAACTCTACACACAAGTAGGAATTAGTCACCTCATGGAAGAAAAACACCAGCAATAGTGTGCCTAACAAATGTCTATCCTGGATAAATCAGGTTAACTTTCAGACTACATTTGTGGTTACCATAACTGCAGAGGTTGTACTCACACTCCAGTCAGTGAGGTCACTGCCATAACTGCTGCAGATTGCTGCCTGCATCAAGGATTAGGACCATCCATATCACTAAGCAATTCAAAACTATTTTAACAACAGCAAAACCAATAAAATGCATAATTTTTCAAATGTTTCTCTGATGTGCAGCTTTAAATGTTGTGAGATCTTACTCTGCCAGCCAAATATCATGGTTCTGTATTCTGTATTATAGTTTTACAGAGCCAAGCAGGGCATTGGAGGGACAAGGTGAGTGGTGAGCCAAGACAAATACCCAGTGGGGAGCAAGTGAAGCAGGGTAGCATGTAGGGCTGACAGTGCAAAAATGACATCAGTGAAAGCACACATGCACCTGTCGGCACTGTGGATGCCAACTTCCTGGTCCAATTGTACATCGATAACGTTAGTGGCATTGATTACCTGGACTGATATGGTGGCAGCAAACACACAGTAACTTTTATCATTGCTGTCTCTAATCCTTCTTTAAGAGAGCGAACTGTTTTTATTACAGGCACGAGCACAGAGATTCTAAGCCAAATGAGGGAGATCCCTCCAGTGCATTGTGTTTATTGCAATTATAAACTTGTTTCTGTTGAGCAGGTTTGGAATTTGTTAACAGCAATCAATCAAGGAAATCTTTCCAGCAAAAGCAAGAGAGAGAGCGAGAGCGAGAGCGAGAGCGAGAGCGAGAGCGAGAGCGAGAG